CTGAGTATCCCAGATTCACAGATTATTGTCGTGGAGGCGCGGGATTGATTGAAATAATATTGTCAGATTTTTCTAAATTATATTGAATTTTTGAAATATCGAAATTTGTAAATTATTATTTCAATCAGGAATCAGGAATAAAAAAATGAGATTGAATTTTCAATTTTTTGAGGGAGGCTTAGCCTCTCCTGCCTCCTCTGACGAGCCGCCACTGTTTATGGTCGATTTTGTTAGACGATGTCGGAAAATCAAAATTTTTCAGGGCTAAAAATGCAAAAATCATTTTCAATTTTTTACAGGCTCCAACCCTAAGAAAGAAAAATCAGGAAAATGCTTTTCCACTAAATTTGACCTCCTCTTTTGATTGGTAAAGTCAAAAATTGAAAAATTCAGATTTTTCTAAGGGGCAAGGAAATTTCATTTTCAAATATTCCAAAGGGCCATATTTCGGAAACCAGAAAAGCTATCGATAGGAAATTTTGTCTTATTGTAGATTTCGATTGGGGTTTCAAAAAAGGTTATTTGGGACACCGAGCCCTAGGACTTCGTTTTCGAGATATTCGGTTTTGAAGGTTTTCCTAAATTTGAAACAAAGTTTCAACTTTGATGCTCAACATCTCGAAAACCATAAGAGATAAATGATTCAATTTAGTTTTATCTTGAAGAGTATTTAATTCTGATTAAGTATATATAAATATGCATTGGAATTTGTGAAATATTGATTGATTTATGGGCGATTTTGTTAGACAATGTGGGAAAATCAAAATTTTTCAGGGCTAAAAATGCAAAAATCATTTTTAATTTTTTACAGGCTTTAAATCCTAAAAAAGGAAAATCACGGAAATGCTTTTCCACTAAATTTGATCTCCTCTTTCGATTGGTAGAGTCGAAAATTGGAAAATTTAGAAAAATCAAAATTGAAATTTTTCTTAGGATTAGTTAGTATGTATGCAAGAAAATTTCATTTACAAATATTTCAGAGGGTCATATTCCGGATATCAGAAAAGCTATCGACAGGGAATATTGTCTTATTGTAGATGTCGATTGTGGTTTCAAAAAAGGTTATTTGAGACACCGAGCCCTAACGCTTCGTTTTCGAGATATTCGGCTTTGAAGGTTTTTCAAAATTTGAGACAAAGTTTCAACTTTGAGGCTCAACATCTCGAAAACTATTCAAGATAATTACTTCAATTTTCTTTTATCTTGAAGAGCATTTAATTCTGATTAAGAATATATAAATATGCATTAGAATTTGTAAAATATCAATTGAATAATGAGCGATTTTGTGAAGTAATAGTCTAAGAGCCAGTGAACTTTTCGCGTAAAAAGTTGCCGATGGACAATTTCTTGCTTAAAAGATGTAGTATTATCCCCCGTGATCTGGCAGCATATAGTGGGGAAGTTTGGCGTAGGCATAATTAATTAGTCATTAAAAAATTCATGAAATTCGAAATACTTGCCGATGGTCAATTTTTGCGGCATATCGTTCAAAAATGTGCCATTAACAAGGCTGTAATGATGCCAGACGGTTTTCACGGGTTTAAACCCTTGCCAGACGCTACCAAAGTGCAAAAAAATAATTTAAAAAATCGAAATACTTGCCGAAACCTGTTTTTTTTACATTTAAGAGAAAGAAATTGCTAATCGAAGAAACCTTATGCCAGACGGCTCTATCGAAGATTAATCCTTGCCAGACGACGGCGCCAAAGTTCGTTATTTTAGGCGTCCGTGAACGCACACATACATAAGCTGCGTCGGGGAGGGGATGATATGCCGCAGCCACACGTCGCTGATCCCGTACGAGAGCAAATGAGAGGGAAGACAAGGACTGAGTGGGACGTGTGTATAATATTACAATGAAGTAGAAAGAAAGTTTGGAATGGGCTTTGCGTCATTCAATTGATTCCAGAATGAGATAGCGCTAGTGAGGGCAAAAAATCTATTGGATCTCCTTACAGTGACTCTATTGCCACAGTGCTGACAATGCTGTCTCATTTTTGATTGGTTCTATTCTATATATTCATATGGAAAACGCCGCCATTTTGTGCCCCATTTCTTGCTAATTTTAAATATGAATATATGAGATTTAAATGGACATCCATCATAAAAAATTAAAAGCAACGTATCCGATGACTATTATTAGGTACCTACATCAAATACGTTGTTTTCAATTTTTTTATGATGGATGTACATTTAAATCCTTTTTATTCATATTTAATAGTAGCAAGAGGTAGGGCACAAAATGGCGACGGGACCTCTATTGTCGTCACTGTATGGTAAGGTTTATTTAGTCACTGTAGATCTCCTATATCTCTCGCTCTAACCCTGAGTGAGATAGCGCTGGTAAGGGCAGGAAAATCTCACTTATCTTCCCTGTTCTCTAACTCTAATGTTGGTCGCAAATATATGTATTGACTAGATAAGCAAAGGGCTATTCCAACCTTCTCACTACTTCATTGAAAATATATCAATGAACTATATCCTACACGTAACTGGAATGGATCATGGACATGGCATTTGTCTGTCTCTTAGTGTGTCCAAAGATAGCTATATAGTGACGGCTACCTTACTCACAAGAGTCTGGGGAACAGACAGATAGAGCTTTCCCGAACGTCATCGTGTCGCGAAGCCGGAGGGTGTCGCGTCGATGTTATGAGCTCCTTATATCACTAGTAATTTGATAGGCTCATTAGGTAATCATTTTTTTATTTATGAATATTTAAAGTAGAACTGATACGTGATGCAGATGATAGCTGGTTGCAGTGTTACTTAAAGTCCTTGTTGAGAAAATATTTTCTTTCAGCCTTGAGCTTTAAGGTTCACAAAATAATCTGCTCTGAAAAATCAAAACCATTTTAAATACATAAAACAAAAATCTGAGTCGTGGATGAAATGTTGTATATCGCGTACGGTTACGCTCATTATTAGAGTTGCGAAGGTAAAATTACCAGTAACTTACGTAAAATTACGTAATATTACCCATATCTCGGTAAAATCGGTAAAATTGGACGTGAAGTCGATAAAATTACGTTATTGGTCCTAGAATTATAAGTACTATTAAACAAGGATGTGCGATTAAAATTTGTCTCTCTTTATTTTGAAAAATAGAAAGAGAAACCAGTAGAGAGTAAAGAATGTTGACAATCACAGACAATGAGACCATGTTGATTTCCGCGTTTGTCTCTCTATCTTTGTATCAGGAAATAGACAATAATATCGATATTAATTATTAGAGAATATTAGAATATAATAAGTACAGAGGAACCCCGATTATCCGAGCTCTAGATTAACAGAGTCAATCTAAAGACCCAAAGACCATGATTATTCCAGGTAAGCGCGTCTATGTTCCGTATTAACCAAAAGTAAAAAGCTGGGACAGGATCATATTAGCTCTTGTACTATATGATTTTTAGTGGCAAACTATTAATAAAATAAATGATGGTAGAATTAGTCCAGAGTCCAGGAGAATATTATGAATTATTTTGGTCCCAGATACTTTTGGTGACAGATGGTACATACATATTTCCATTCAAAATCGTCGGGGCCGACGAGGAATCCTCTTTGCCCGTGTGAGTGAATCCCCTATTTGTGTTTTTGGACATTTTTTATTATTCTAGCCTAAAGATTTGCGTAAATCCGGATTCCGAGTTTTCAGTAACCTGCGGAGGGTGCCCCCCCGCGTTACCTCGGATAACCGGGGTTCTACTGTAATGTATATTTCAAATTTTGATTTTACAGAAGTACAAGAATGTTTAATTTATTTCTCAAAAAGATTATCTCACCACCATCAGTAGGTATTCTATAATTCAAATCAACGTTGCATATTGCGTTATTGTAGGATCACCAAGTTATTATTTTTCAATTTTACCGGTGATATTAGGTAAAATTACCGATAATTTTACCGAAATTTATTTTACCGGTAATTTTGCAACTATACTCATTATAGCACTCATGTGGTTACCATATGACTCGGTCTACAATCCGTCGTAACAATATTTCTGTTCGATTCGCAATTTTTTTCTTATAAATTGAAGAAAAAAAAGGTTTCGTCAAGTATTTGGAAAATTTAATATATTTTTTGCAGTCTGGGGGCGTTTGGCACGGCTTTAAACCCGTGAAAATCGTCTGGCATTATTACAGCCTTGTTAATGGAACATTTTTGAATAATATGCCGCAAAAATTGACCATCGGCAATTATTTCAAATTTCGTAAATTTTTTAATGCCTAATTAATTATGCCTACGCCAAACTTCCCCACTACAGCTGCCAGACTATGGTTTTCGATGTCGGGAAATAATACTACATCGTTAAGGCAAGAAATTGTCCATCGGCAACTTTTTACGAAGAAAAATTCACTAGCTCTTCAGATGATCAAAATTGTTCACTGCCAAAAATGCCAAGCTTTGTTACATGTTACATGTTTTACATCTACTTGAGCATGGCATTATTGTGATTTGAAAAAAACTTAGAAATGATATAATTAGGTAAAGGTACCTATAACGTAAATTTCTATCTTAACTTCATATAGTTGTGTTTGCTGGGAAATATCCAAGGATATCAAAAGACAAGTGGTTTTTATCACAACTTACAAATTCAAACATAAATCCTACTACTTGAAACAAAATTATTTTATCTTTATCTACCAATAAAACTACGAAAATCCATTGAAATAGATAAATTACATTACATTCTGTTTAAATGTCCTATATTAGGATGGGAAACAATCCAGATGGTTTTATCTCACATTGAACAAATGAGCAACCCGCAGATCCATCTTTACATTAAGGGTGAATTATGTTTTTGCCCCCATCCTATATGTATTTTATTGTAAAAACTTTTCATAGATTTGTATTATGTTTCAAATAATATAACAGTTATAATCGAGTGACCCAAATACATTTTTAACGAAAATCAATGGGGAAAGTGTCTGAATTTATCTGTGTTATCGTAAAAGCAATATATTTCAAAGAATTTTAAAGGAAATAATATTTCTTTACTTACTTATTGGTATCTGAATCGAACTCTTTTAAAGCTTTCGATTCGTCTTGCCTCTTCCATTTCTCCTCGTTGCCGTTCTCTTCTTTTTGCCATTCAATAGCCAATTTTAATTTATTTTTCTCGTTACTACTATTATTGTTACTCCGTAGTGTAGTTGGTCCGAGTATTGGTTCAGTAATTTCCGTGGATTTATTTTTCCCTTGTACATGGGCTCGGGCATTTTTGATTGAGTGCGTTTTCAAAATCGGTTCCACGATTTCTCTTATCAAACCATCACTGTCTGCGTTTTTTTTGTTTATCGGATCGGCTTTTACCACTCTACTATTAAAAGCCCTACTCGATTCTGCTTCTATGTCTAATAAAGAATTTTCTGAAAATGATTTATTCAATAATAATTTTAATTAATAAAATGCTTATTATTACCGTTTCTGTTGTAAGGTATAAAAGCTGCATGTATATTTTCAGTTTGTTGCATACTCGTGTCATTTTCTTTTGTAGTAGTAGTGCCACAATCTCTTGGATGTAAAGGCAACAGTATTGGCACTCCTGATTCAAGTACAAGAGCTTTTTTGCAAAAAGATGATCTATAATTTGTTTAGTTCAATTGTAATCCTTTAAAACTAAAATTTCTTACATTTTTCCAAAGCTGTCCATTAACAACACCTTATCCATTTTCCATTTGGTCAAGCCTGAACTCAACCAACCACTATAGGCAGTGTATAGTATTTCAATTTTAAGAGGTTGAGATAAAACTGGATGAAGAACTACGATTTTTGATATTGATTCTCCAAGTTTCATTTCTTCGTCATCTTTTCTAAAACAATTATATATTATTGACCAATTAACTATTTTTATAAAGTACATACTTGCTTAGTGTAAATGTTTCATTCAAAAACGAATCACCAATAAGGGTTACTTGTATTTTGCCGTAACTTTTAACTGGGGTGCTGGAACTTGAAGTTGATTCAATTTGAACCAAATATTGATGAGCTAAAAATTTAAATATTTAACAATATTTTTTTTTTAAATCCTGATGATTTACCGCAAAATGGTTCCTCATCTCTGGTGCTCAAATAAAGTTGGCCCCTGCCTTTGGATTTGTCCGCATAATAGCCCATATTACCACATTTTCTTTAATAGAAACATTTTATGAAATGTAAGTAAATTTTAAACAATATTACCTTTCTTCTGTGCAAGGAAAACATTTTCCTGCAATAAATTGATCATACGAGTCACAAGGAAATGCAGGAAAGTGACATCTAGGTGAAACAGAGTCTATGAAAAACTTATACGCTCTGCGGTGATTGCAAAGAGAACGGCCTTCTACAGCTGAAGCTGAAAACATAATAAAACTTCATACAAACTTTATAAAACTTGTAATAATTCTTACACCAAATAATATCAGTTACAGCTCCGACAAATAAATGACTGCATCCCTTTTGCATCCTACCCCCATTAGGATAAAAGTCCACATGTCCCATAGGCTGCGAAGATCCCAAACCACCAAGAATCAAATTCTCTCCATTACTATGAATAACATCAACAAAAGCAGCATCAGTTTCGTCCAATCTGGCTCTGGTGTCTTGAGATTCGAACAGAGGCCCTGCCGGATCCAGGCCAGTTATTCTGCTAAGATTACCCAAATCGGCACCTGCGAATCCAGCAATATGAGCTCCAAGACTGAATCCTATCAGATGAGTATTGGTGAGAGATAAGCCGTTTTTTTCGACGAGGCCTCTGAGTAGCAAGGAGAGCTGTTTGCCTACTAAACGGGTATTGGCTGAAGCTTTTACGTAGTTGGGTAGCGAGGCTCCGTTGGACCAATCGACGCAGATTGTGTTTACTTCTTCCTGGAATTTATGATAAAAGTTATTAGGATTGGATATTATGCAAGGTCCTCAATGATTTTCCAAACACTGCTCATGGCATTCTCATAAGAAACTTTTAAAATATGTAGTTATTTTTTCCATGATGATGCTTCATATTTTCTTCGTTTCTTTTATATTTTTGATTAATGGTAGAGAGTTCAATTTTGTCTCATTTCTCTAATGGTTTTTGAAATATCTGATCGTCCTCTTCTAACTTCAGCAATATCATATTGATTTTTCCAAAATCTGTGGAACAATATTTCACGATTCAGTTCAAATTCGACTTTCTTCTGGTATCATTTTTATATTTTCCTCTCAATTTCTTTTCCAGTGTTTTTTGCAGATAATTGTGTAGTTTTTAAAGTTTGGCTGCACCCCCTCCTGCTAGAGAGCTCAAAGCAGATAGACCTACCAAAATCCAAAGAACGAAATTCTATGTGTGTTTCTGTAAATCTCCATTCTTTAATCCTTTGAAATACTTTTTTGAATAGTTCTAACGTATCCAAACTATAAAAATTTCAATAGTTTGAATATTATTGAAGCTTCTGCTGATATTTTGAACATGGATATTATTAGGAATTTACTCCAAAACTCTGTAAATGATGAGTTTGTTATCTCTTATCAGACTTTAAAAACTCAAAATAGTGTCTCAATAATATGATTGATGAAATGGGGCTCAAATGAATTATTGCCCTTTTCAACTCAAGGCATTGCATTTGATAATAGATAATGTCTTTCTTTTGCCAACACGTCAAATACAGGGCTGATTTTTATAATAATTTGATGTATAAAATGACTATGAGGTTGATTCCAGATATCTTCCGCAACTTTAGTTGAGGGTTTCATATCAACTTCCAATTTTTTTTGTTTCATGAAAAAACTCTAATTAATAAATCCTGAAGGTTTCAAATTGCTGGGATGGCTCAAAGTATTTTTCAGGAACCTTCATAAGCGATTTTACAGGATTTTTCTGATTTTCTCAAGAATCAATGGATAGAAAAATTCGCAACTTCAGTTGCGAGTTTCATATCAACTTTCAATTTGTTTTGTATCATGACAAAACTCTAATTAATAAATCCTGAAAGTTTCAAATTGCTGGGATGACTCAAAGTATTTTTCAGGAACCTTCAAAGGCGATATTTCAGGAATTTCATGATTTTCTCAGGAAATCCATGAACAGAAAAATTCGCAACTTCAGTAGCGAGTTTCATATCAACTTCCAATTTGTTTTGTATCATGACAAAACTCTAATTAATAAGTCCTGAAAGTTTCAAATTGCTGGGATGACTCAAAGTATTTTTCAGGAACCTTCAAAGGCGATATTTCAGGAATTTCATGATTTTCTCAGGAAATCCATGAACAGAAAAATTCGCAACTTCAGTAGCGAGTTTCATATCAACTTCCAATTTGTTTTGTATCATGAAAAAACTCTAATTAATAAGTCCTGAAAGTTTCAAATTGCTGGGATGGCTCAAAGAATTTTTCAGGAACCTTCAAAGGCGATTTTAAAGGATTTTTGTAATTTTCTCAGAAATCAATGAATAGAAAAATTCGCAACTTCAATTGCGACTCTCATATCAACTTCCAATTTGTTTCATATCGTGACAAAACTCTAAGTAATAAATCCTGAAAGTTTCAAATTGCTGGGATGGCTCAAAGTACTTTTTCAGGATCCTTCAAAGGCGATTTTACAGGAATTTCATGATTTTCTCAGGAATCAAGGAATAGAAAAATTCAAAACTTCAGTTTCGAGTTTCACATTAACTTCCAATTTGTTTTGTATCATAACAAAACTCTAATTAATAAATTCTGAATGTTTCAAATTGCTGGGATGGCTCAAAGTATTTTTCAGGAACCTTTAAAGAATTAATGTTTTTTCAATAATCCAATCATTCTTCACAGAAATTATCACATTCTTCATAATTCTATAGCTTCTTTAATAAATTACTGGATAAGTTATTCAACCTTTCCTTTAAAATCTGCTAATTGTGAAGGAACATGATTTTCCACTCAATACTATTTCAGTTTGTATCTCCCATCTTCTTCTATTGTAATTGTATTGTGATGCCACGTCTCTTTCCTGGATAATTAAATTATTTAGAGCCGGATTCTGAAGATCAGCAAATTGATAAATCCTGAAAGTTTCGAATTGCTAGGATGGCTGAAAGTTTTTTTCAGGAACCTTTAAAGACGATTTTACAGGAATTTTATGATTTTCTCAGGAATTAATGTTTCTTCAATAATCCAACCATTCTTCACAGAAATTATCACATTCTTCATAATTCTATTGCTTCTTTCATAAATTACTGAATTAGATAGAAATTCACCTCTTTTTTCAAATCTGTTATAATTATGAAGGAACATGATTCTTCTTTCTAGACTATTTCTCTTGGTATCTGCCATCTTCTTCTCTTGTGATTGTGTTTTCATGCCACCTCTCTTTCCTGGATAATTAAATTATTTAGAGCCGGATTCTGAAGATCAGCAAATTCATAAATCCTGAAAGTTTTGAATTGCTAGGTTGGCTCCAAGTTTTTTTCAGGAACCTTTAAAGACGATTTCACAGGAATTTTATGATTTTCTTAGGAATCAATGAGTAAAAAAATTCGCAACTTCAGTTGTAATTTTTATATCAACTTTCAATTCGTGTTGTAAATTGACTAAACTCTAATTAATATATCCTGAAAGTTTCAAATTGCTGGAATGGCTTAAAGTATTTTTCAGGAACCTTCAAAGACGATATTACAGGAATTTCATGATTTTCTCAAGAATCAATGAACAGAAAAATTCGCAACTTCAGTAGCGAGTTTCATATCAACTTCCAACTGGTTTTGTATCATGACACAACTCTAATTGATAAATCCTAAAAGTTTCAAATTGCTGGGATGTTCCAAAGTATTTTTCAGGATCCTTCAAAGACGATTTTACAGAAATTTTATGATTTTCTCAGGAATCAATGTATAGAAAAGTTCGCAACTTCAGTTGCGAGTTTCATATCAATTTCCAATTTGTTTTTTATCATGACAATACTATAATTAATAAATCCTGAAAGTTCCAAATTGCTGGAATGGCTCAAAGTATTTTTCAGGAACCTTCAAAGGCGATATTAGAGAAATTTTATGATTTTCTCAGGAATCAATAAACAATAAAGTTCGCAACTTCAATTACTAGTTTCATATCAACTTCCAATTGGTTCTGTATCATGAAAAAACTCTAATCAATAAATCCTGAAAGTTTCAAATTGCTGGTATGGCTCAAAGTATTTTTCAGGATCCTTCAAAGGCGATATTACAGGAATTATATGATTTTCTCAGGAATCAATGAGTAGAAAAATTCGCAACTTCAGTTATAAGTTTCATATCAACTTCCAATTTGTTTTGTATAATGACAAAACTCTAATTAATAAATCCTGAAAGTTTCAATTTGCTAGGATGACTCAAAGTATTTTTCAGGAACCTTCAAAGAAATAATGTTTCTTCAATAATTTAATCATTCTTCACAGAAATTATCACATTCTCCATAATTTTTTAGCTTCTTCAATAAATTACTGAACCTCTTCTTTGAAATCTGCTAATTGTGCAGGAATATTCACTCAATACTATTTCACCTTGTATCTCCCATCTTCTTCTCTTGTAATTGTGTTGTGCCAGCTCTCTTTCCTGGATAATTAAACTATTTAGAGCCGAATTCTGAAGATCAGCAATGGAAGAGCTTAATATCAATGAAATCATTGGAAGGGAATTGCCCATTTCCACTGAATAACTTTTGGTAGGTAAATCATCAAATTTTGAGAAGTTGGAAAAACATCCATAAACTTGCAAGGACTTATGACGTTTAGATAGAAGTTTTTATTCATTATATCAGTGATTCTCAAACTGGGTTCCGCGGAATCCCAAGGTTCCGCAAAGAATCGATTGGGGTTCCGCAAGCAATCAATAACAATACCTCCTAAAATAAGGTTTTTCAGGAATATTTGCTGTTTCCAGACGAGGCGGAGTTATTAATATGTTTATTTACGACTAATGTATAATGTGCGTATTATATTTGTGATTTTGGCAGTATAGTGACATATGTTATTCCTCCAGGGATTAATGACGAGTAGCGGGATTAATGGTCATTATTCCACAAAAGTGTCAGTGTCAAACGTGTAGTGCTTGTGGATTTGTATTGAAAATTATGAGACGGATGAAATTTGTTCATTGAAAATCTCAAATAAATTAATTTGTCGTAAATAAAGTAGAGTATACTACTCGCAATAATGGCTATTATTCCCTCGGAATGTTACTCCCTCGCCGCTAACGCGAATAATAGCTATCATTATTGACTCGTGGTATAATCTACTATATGTATCTGCTTAATTTTTAAATTTTTTCAAAGTTCACTCCTTATTTAGCTCAATAAGCGTACCTATTAATGTCTATAAACCAAACATTTTATGTCTTATATTTAAGTACAGTGTGTGAAAAATAAGAATTTTAGAAGGGTGGTCAGTCCTTGAGCGGGACACACTGTATATACTTAGGGTAGGAGTTCCCCAGAAAAAAAAAAGTGCGCTCTAGGGTTCCTCACTTTACAAAAGATTGAGAAACACTGATCTTTATAGTAATGTTAGCGTAGCTTTTCATTTTTATAACAATTGTTCCGCCAAGGCTATATTAGAAAATTTACTCTCTAAGTTCTTACCACAGCCATCAAAGCACTACGAATTTCATAAGCCCAAATATATCCGCAGTCGCTACCAAAACCGTGAATCAAAATCTTTGTGGGTAAACTCATGTTAAAACCGCCCTTGGCCCATTCGAAGGCGTCATCGATTTTTTCAAAAGGCACCTCAGTGGGCGCGGAACCACTTTGTCTTTTCTTATTTCTGAAATAGACGAAATCCAATATAATTGAATACATTAGTTTAATTATTACCTTGCAGGATACATGAGAAATTTTGTATTGATTTCCTCAGGTTTGCTCGGTAGCATGTCCAAGTAACCGAAAGGTCCTGAAGCTTCGAAACAACCGAGTTCGTCATAGCAAATGCTCGGTTCTTCCCTTTTTGTCCTAAAACGTATACACATTTAAACATCCCATAATAGGGCTAAAACTAAAACTACCTTTTAAGATCGTGCTTGTGAGTCCAATGGTTCATAGATTGGACCACTGCTTTGTATCTTAATAATTCATCGTGCTCATCTTGAGAAGGGCCCATCCATGGTACTGCACTGGCTGAAAGGAATAATTATTGTTCACATAATGATATAAAGTGATTTAACACTTACCTAAAGAAAAAAAACCTACGATCCATATGTTTGATCTGATCCACATACAGGATAGCATTTCACAAGGAGAATAATGCGTCTTTTTCTAATCATTTAATCGGTAATCTAATTTGCAGCAACTTTAAAACTTGTTTCATTGAGATTATTTTTACATGCTCAAGGAATATCTAAAACAAAAAGAGAAATTGAAGTAATTTGATTATATCTATTATCACTAAACAGATCCAGAATTATTATGGAATTTAATTAGCATTTTCCTTATTATTAAAACCAAAGATGTATATTTTTAATAATAGTATGAATTTCAGGCAACATATGTTCTATGTCCTCCTTTCCAACACAAATTATAATAATGATACAAATGATTTCAAATCTTCATTGTTTTTGAAAATACGTATAATTCCACTTATAAAATGTTACCGTATATTTGAATTTAATTAGTTGAAACTGAAATATTTCCGGTTGATTCGGAAGTACCGATAAGTATCGACACGGAACATTAAATTATTAAATCGAAAGCTCTAATTAATGAATTTCTTTTTTTTCTTGTAGACATTATTATAACACTTTTGTATTTTAATAATGTAGTAGTTGATATTCCATTCTATGTTTGTTTACTTTTCAATTGATGCCATAATTTTTGCTTTTGGATGCCCGGCACTTTCACTATTTAACAATCAATTAAAAGCTCGCGACACGAAATACGTTTAATATTTTATATTTATCGTTACGTGCATATAGGGCAAAGTAATCCACATAAACAACTTATTATTTATGATTGGGTGGTAATAAACGCGAGCTTTTACATAATTTTAGCTATATACGTTTTGCATTTAAAAAGAATCACTACTCTTGATATAAAGCTATAATATGTGATAAAAAGTTTATTTGTGAGAAGCTTTTAAGGCTCTAAAAGTGTTTTAAGATTCATGACTTGCACCTTAAGACTTTAGAGATTTTGATTATTAAAGACTAAAGTCTTCAAGAATTTGCGAAGATGTAAAGATTCTTAAAGCCTTTAGAAAAGGAACTTTCCAAGAAGATTTCAGAAGAATTCATATATTGATTTAAGCCTCTTCAAAGATTATGAGTTGCTAAAACCTTCAAAGATTGATCCGATTCAGACCCTGAAATTTCTGAATATTTAACAGACTCAGAAATGTTTCAAAGAATCTACAGCTCTTGATTCAAAACTTGGGACTCTTCAAAATCTAAAGATCTTGAAGATTTAAAAGTGTTTTAAGATTCATGACTTGCAACTCAAGACTTTAGAAATTCTGATCATTCAAGATTGAAGTCTCTAAGAATTAGCGAAGATGTAAAAATTCTTGAAGCCTTTGGAAAGAAAGTTTCCAAGAAGATTTCAGGAGAATTCAAATATTTGAAGGTCTTTGATTTGAAGCCTCTTCAAAGATCCTGAACACTTATGATTTACTAAATCTATAAACTTCAAGGATTCATCTGATTCAAAGCTTGAAATTTCTGAATATTTTAAAGACTCAGAAATATTAACAAAGTATATGGATCTCTTGCATTCATTATGCGTAACACAAGGCGATTTAATGATGTGGGTGTCGTAATTAGGCTTTATAGGTAATGCTCATGTTCATTCACACTTAGAATATGCTTTTGTTGTATGGTATCCGCAAGCAAAAACATACTGTGATGCAACTGAACGCGTTCAAAAAAAGATTTCTATGGTTTTTGTGTCAGAAAAAATAATATCTATCCGTGTATCTAGTCTAATAGAAGCATGTTGGATGACTTCAAGTTCCAGACATTGGAAAAAAGAAGGCAGATACAGTGTGTGCTGTTTATTTATTACTTATGTTATCAATGATATAAACTATGTATAATAAATGTTCCTTAATTAACTATATTCCCATACATGTACCTAAAATTAACTTAAGAATTAAAAGAGATACATTTTTTATGTACCAGTGGGTAGCAGTTCTTCCCTCAATTGTATGTTGGTTAAATGTAATGAACTGTTTTCCCAAGATGTTAGTCTAAATTATTCCATAAATACCCGACATGAAATAATTCAAAAGTTAAGTAGTAGGTACCTAGCAGTGCCATCTTGTATGTTGTTTTTATTGGTGTAGTTTTTAGTTTGATTCATCCGCTTCAAAGCCTGAAATATCTGAATATTCTACAGACTCAGAAATATGTTTCAAAGAATCCTTCAAGGCTCTTGATTCAAAACTTGGGACCCTTCAAAATCTGAAAATCTTAAAGATTTGAGTGTTTTAAGAGTTATGACTTGCAACTAAAGACTTCAAAGATTCTGATCATTAAAGACTAAAGTTTCTAAGAATTTGTGAAGAAGTAGCACATATTCTTGAAGACTTTAGAAAGGAACTTTCTAAGAAGATTTCAGAATTCGAATATTTCAATGTCTTTTATTTGAAGCTTCTTCAAAGATTCATCCGATTCAAAGCCTGAAATATCTAAATATTCTACAGATTCAGAAATGTTCCAAAGAACCTAAGGCTTTTGATTCAAAACTTGGGACTCTCCAAAATCTAAAGATATTGAAGATTAAAAATTTGAAAACTAAAGGAATAAGATCTAATAGATGTTGAAGGGTCTTGAGACTCATGACTTCAAAACCAAAATTCTTGGGATTTTAAAGACAATACATTGAAAACTTTAAACATTTCAAAACTTCTAAAAAGTAAGTAAATTTTTGGGTGGGTGAACAAAAAACTACTTTTTTGGTTGGATTGTGTGATTCATTTTTGGGAAATGCATAGGGACACCTGGTTTTCCGTCTCCACTGTTCAAAAGCTACCTAGAGCACGTGGGCCCTTAACCACTATAATTCTAAGGGTGGCGCCCGAGTTTTCCGAAATCAACCGCTTGCTTACCGGAAAACCAAAGTAGCGCTACAAATACAAATACACCCCTACCTAGGTACCTAATTCTAATGATCTTGATGGACTTGATGTTAAGTTTTGAAAAAATCTTGAAGTCTATTTGTCTTAAAGTCTCAAGTTTTGATTTTGATGACTTTAAAAGATTCTCCAAGATTGCAAAATGAAAACTCTAAAAAGTCTGCTGCTGAAAAACTGAAATTAAGTACTTAGTAAAAAGTCGAAAAACTTTAAATATTCGTTTTTCCTATAAAGGCTCTTGATTTGCTGAGGATTTTCAAAACTTTCCTTTTAGGGCTTCTAGAAGACTACGAGGAGTGTAAAGATCTTGATACAAATTACTTTTGTTTATGGATTTGAGCACCTACATTGTTTTTTTTTAAAGATTCCGAAAATCTAAAGGCTTCAAAGATCATCAGGCTTTTGATTTCAATTTCTTGAAGGCTCTAAAAAATCCAAAAATCCTGCAAATCTCAAATAATTTTAAACATTTCGAAGATCCTCAGGTTATAAGACTCTGAAAAAACTAGGCTCTGCATAGCTAGGTAGGTACTAAAAATGCCCTAATTCAACTGTATAATAGTCATCACATCAGTATTGTATTCTCTCACCTCGCCAAAGAAGGTTAAGTACGTTTTTCGTTGAAATATCTCTTATGAAAAACTACAGTTAATATAACTAAATCACGGTCGTATTGCACTTTATTTTACATATTGTCTTGTTATTGCCATTCCCTTGTTAACCTTGTAGCAAGTTACATATCGTTTTTGCTCCAAATTACTGAAAGAATTTCCAACTTGTTTGTTATCATATTAATAAATATTATGTAATAATTCAGTTTGTTTCATCAAATTAGTAAAGTCCAAAAGTTTGCAGCAAAAATTGTAGATTTCTAATTGTTGTTACTGCATTCCATTCTAATGAATTATGTTAATTGGATTCTGTACAAGAAAATGTTGTTGTGACATATTTGAAAAAAAAAATTCAATTATTGTATTAGAAATGAGTAGACATTGCAAATACTCATAAGAATTTTATTATATTAAGTAAATTTAATGTTACTATGAAGGGGAAAATTTAGGGTTTTCCTAATAGTGGTGCAAATAATTCAATGGGATTTTATTGAAAGATTGTAAAGGTAAATCACATAATGAATATCATTGAAATTTTACCAAATCATGGTAATTAACCAAGTAATGAAAATCAATACCTTTGTTTCTGAAGGTTTATTGTTAATTAATATTGTGCTAATTATGACACCTTAAAAATGTTAACACAGAATAGGATTGTTATTAAAGAAGAAAACTAACATTGTATGACAAAATATAAACTAGGGCACTAATGATTATTTTCATTAAACAAAGATGTTGCAGAGTTTCCTGCCAGTTAATACGCCAACCGAGAAAAGCCCCCCTGAATTACGACACAAGTGTGGAAATTAAGTAATTGAATAACAAAGACAATTAATCGCAATTGCAACCGGTTTCCATATAACTTTCGTTATTGTTATTAAACTTATATGAATTAATAATTATTGGGACAAAATTTGCATGTTTCAAATTTTGTTTATAAAAATATTTAGATTTATATTAATATTAATATTACTAGGCAGTAGTTAACCAATTATGGATGAACAAATATGCAAGGATTTTCAATTAGTTGACTGCGCAGTAATTTTTGTCAATATTTTGCAAGTTTCTTGACAGCAACTTATCGAAAGTTGATGATATTGATCATTTAGCATAAAAAATTGGATAATTTCCAGCAAAAAAATAAGCCAGTGTCACGAAAATTGAGCGTGACAGAAATGTTTGTAATTTTTGCTTCAGAGAATTTAAGTCAATCGGCTTTGGTCTAATTAATTCAACATGACAATAATTATTTCATTGTAGAAAGAACTGAATTTAAAAAAAGAAGATACAGAAGGAAATTTAGGGCTGGTTACATACCTATGGAACAACTTAAATCTTCCTCATGAATTGTAGGTAATGCATAAAAATCAATTAAAATTAAATTGTTCACTGTGATGTAGCACTTAATATGAGAAAGCAATTGACAAATTAGTTTTTCATGATGCATACATTACTTTCCCTTGTAAGTTGAGGCAAAAAGATAAGATCCTAAAGTTTATTTGCATTTTCAAGTAATGTAAAACCCAAACATATCACCTATGGGCGAAGAAAGTGGAAATATTTCATACAAATGGTAAATAAGATTTAGCCGAAAATGTACTAATTTAATATTTAAATATTTATTAAACAATTTTTTACCTGAAAGGGAAAGTGGAATTTAGGACTCACCCGACATAGGAACACCCAGACCAGACTGAGAGTAACCGCGAACGCCTTCTTTTTTAAATTTTTCCGATAATTGCATTATTAATTGAAATTGCAATAAAAAAAAAAGTACAATAGGTAATTTTAAATATAAATTAAATTTAATTAATAAAATATTTTGTTCTCCATTATTGTTACTATGCTGATTATGATTCCAATACTATTTTTTTCATCAAAGATGTGTTTTGAAACTTTTTGATAGTTCAGTTTATACAGTTCGTTAGTTTTAGGGATTTTCGTCTAGATTTTTAACAAAAATTTCAAGAGCCTGCAATAGAAAGGTTGAGAAATACAAAACGATTTTTTTTTCTTTTGGTAATGGAAAGCGACAACGAAAATCCCTATTCCCAAAGTGCACAATATTGAAAATGAAGAAGTTCAGGCACATTATTATTCCTGAAGTTGGAAAGATTCTTGAATTAATAATGTACTTTGATTTATAGACAAACCCCAAAAAACAAGAATATTTCTCTAAAAAATTCTCATTAATCCTAGAATCATGTAAGTACCTACCTACGCAAGTAACTTTTCCTGTTTTGCATAAATAAGTATCTATAACTTTCCTTTTTTTTTTTATTGAAGGACTTTGAGTACCAAACACTAAAGCTAAAAAGGTACTCATTAATTAAAAACCATCATCGTCACATATTTTACAAGACAACAAAAAATTGCGAAAGTTGATCCAACCAAACCAATCTAAATCGGATTAAGTATTGGCAAATTTTTGTTACTCTTTAAATAATTGAAATCATATTGATGTTACGAACCTATTTCAAATCAAAAAAAATGTATTTCCTCAAAGTTGTTGAACTATTTTATTGTGAAACACATTAGCGCACTGCTGAGACCGTAAGCGGTACCGCAATCGGGTTCTCTTCGCGTTTGAAAAGCGCGCGTGACGCTACTAAAGTCAACCGGGTACTGCTTTCAGCAAGGTTCTTGCAGTTTGGTTGGGAAAGTGTTGCTGCTGGCTGTTACCGATATTCAATAGGTGGAACTCGGTGTATAGCGGCATTTGATCCTATAGAAAAAAAAAAGTACCATCGTAAAGATCTTGAACCTTTTGTTCTTTAGTATGCAAGCATTTGCATAGAGAATAGGAATCGTTCTTTTGAATGAATAAAAATTGTAACTGTCCGTTTACTAAATACATAATTAGGTAGCGTTGAAGTAGGTCAACAAGAAACCAATTAAAATGTGCATTTTAAATTGGTTGGAGTCTTTTGTTGGTTTTGGTACTATTATAATATGGTACTCATCAGATTGTCTAGTTTTTATTCTGACACGAAAACATATTGTTTCTCAACCAGAACCCATTGTATTAGGTAGGTATATGAATTTTGTGGATATGATGATATGTTTCATTCTCGCACACATTTTTTAAGAAGTTTTACAAGGGGGTTCTTTAAGCAATATATATCACTCCAATAATGATGCTTTTGAGTTTGATGCTAATTTTTTTGGATGCTGAAAAGATATAATGATGCTATAACTATAGATTGAGGATTTCAGGAGTTGCATAGTTTCTAATAGAGCAGAAACGATTCAAAAAACGTCTTAAAAATATATCTTATCGGATGTCAGACCGTTTTAAAAATCAAACGTCTAGAAAATATCCTTTTTATACCTTTTTCGGAAAGACTCTGACATGGACATTGGAAAAACGTTTTCTGTTATTGGTTTTAAAAACGTCCTAGTCGTATTTCAAGTGAATTAGCATATATAGAATGTATCAGGATTCACATAGAACATCACCAGAAATTCCAGTCTAAGTTTTAACAACTCTAACCTCGAATATGACGATACTTATGATAGGCAAATGTCCATACAAAATGAGCTTCGTACAGAACATTTGAACGAAAAAGAACTAATTACCAACTTATGCCTGAACTTTTCCGACATTTTCTACTTGGAAAGTGACACGCTCACTTTTACTAGTGAGAAAAAACACCTTATTGACACCAATAATGCAAAGCTAGTGTATACCAAATCTTACAGGTACCCCCAAATCCACAAGGAGGAAGTCAAATCCCAAGTTACCAAAATGCTAGAGCAAGGCATAATTGGCCATTCTGTATCTCCATGGACTTCTTCCGTCTGGGTCGTTCATAAGAAACTTGCTTCTGGCAAACGACTAAAGTAAAATCAACGAACTTACTGTAGACGTCAAATACCAGCTGCCTAATATTTCCGATCTTCTGGATCAATTGGGAAAATGTCAATATTTTACCACTCTTGACCTAGCTTCAGGTTTTCACCAAATAGAAGTAGACCTCAAGAATGTTTCGAAAACCGTAGAAAATGGGAATTACGAATTCGTACGACGTATGCCATTTGGATTGAAAAATGCCCCGTCCACATTCCAAAGAGTCATGGACAATATTCTCCTCGGCATTCAAAATGAAAGATGCCTAGTTTACATGGACGATATTATCGTTTACTCTCCTACCATCCACGAACATATTTTAAGGCTAACCGAAGTATTTAAACGCCTCCGTAAAGCTAACTTGAAAATCCAGCCGGAGAAATGTGAGTTTCTTCGAAAAGAAGTAGCTTACCTGGAACACCTTATCACTCAAGACCGTGTAAAACCGACCCCTGCAAAAATAAGGTATATTCAGAACTTCCCCACACCCAAAAATCCAAAAGACATTTAAATCCTTTCTAGGATTAGCAGGAAATTATCGTCGATTTATCCCCAATTTTGCTAAAACATCAAAGTCCTTAACAAAACTCCTCCAGAAAGATGTTACATTTCACTTCAACCCAGAATTCATATTCGCAAAAGCGCATAAGCCACCCACAATCCAACGGGTCGCTGGAAAGATTCCATGCAACTTTAATGGAGATGATCCGCGTTCATAAAGCAGAATATCCAGATGAACACTCATTCAACATTCTCCCGTACGCAGTTATCTGTTATAATAATGTCACGGCTCTGGGTTGCCCAATGAAGGGTTGCCTGACAGAAATCTTGGGTTCGCTTCGTTTACCCAAAATCAAAGTCCAATTAACACAGCAATAATTTATTCCACGTAACAATACACTCTGACACTAATTACTAACTCAACAATTAAACTCTTTACAACTCGCAACAATAATCACTATTTAAATCGTATCACAGTCAAACTGAAACTTAAAAACTTCCAAGTAACACGCCGGCCTTTTATACCCCTTAAAACTGTTTCTGTACAATCCAGAATGCACGCGATAACTCTTGTTTTCCCAATCAAGTAGAATTTACCAGATTATTATAGGAATCTGTAATTTCTAGGGTATTCTAAGCCTAGGATTCTTGACACATTGGCGGCGTAACACTGCCCTTCTCTTAAGGTTGATCGTCCCGATCAACTTCACGCCTATGATATTTCGTTAATCTGTCTAGATGTACAACTTTCATCTTACTCCTGGTGTTGCGCTGGACTCGATAAACCAAATCATTAATCCTCTTGATTATTCTATAGGGTTTTTCCCATGCTGAAGACAATTTCGGCGATACTCCTTTCTTTCTAGCTGGATTATACAGCCACACTAAATCACCTTCTTGAAATCCGGCTGAATTGGCTTTCAGGTCGTATCTGGTCTTCATCCGGTCACTGGCTAGTTGAATATGCTCTCGAGCAAAATCATGGATACCCAGAAGTCGTACCCTTACTTCGTCGACATAGTCTCGAATTTCTTTTCGTTCTTCTTCAGGTATTCCAAACATCAGATCGCAAGGTAACCTGAGTTCTCTTCCAAAAACGATTCTGGCTGGACTTTCACCTGTTGACTCGTGAACAGCTGCTCTGTAAGCCATTAAAAATAGAGGCAAATGCTTGTCCCAATCTCGCTAGTTCCTTGCGACCACTTGTGTCAGGTGTTTCTCTATGCTCTTATTGAATCGTTCCACCATGCCATCAGATTATGGATGTAAACGTGTTGTCCTTGTCTTACGAATGCCACAATGATCTCACAAATTTTCTTAAAGATGCCAGATTCGAAGTTTCGTCCCTGATCTGAATGCAACTCTAGTGACACACCATGACGACTGAAAACTTTGTACACTAGCACCTGGGCAACAGTGATGACTTCTTGATTGGGAATAGTGAAAACTTCTGGTAATTTACTGAAGTAATCCATGATAACCAAGGTGTATTTTTTACCATGCTCTGACTCAGGGAACGGTCTGGCAACATCAATTGCTATTCTTTAAAATGGGAGACCGACGTTATACTGTTTCATGGGCCCCCGAGATCTTAGTTTAGGGCCTTTACTGCGGTAGCACAGATGTCGCATTTTTGGCACCAGCTTTTAACGTCTTCATGATAGTAAACCCAGTAAACACGTTCCTGAATTTTGTCCAGAGTCTTGTTAACTCATCCAAAATGTGCCCCTGAAGTTCCGTCATGTTGGCTCGTAGTGGATTTTCCATCGGCACTTTCCCAAACTCTTTTGAGCAAACCATTTTCTACTGCCAGAGAATTCCACTGGGACCACAACGTCTTGTAAATCAAGCTCTTGTGCGACACTTCCCTCCATTCTGGCCTACATTCATCATTTTCCTTAAGATGGAGAATCTGCCCGATGTCTTGGTCTGCTTCCTGATTTTCTCTCATTTGTTTTGTAGTCCATTTGTCATTAACGATCAGGCCCGTTCTTCTCACAGTTGGACTAGTGTTTTTCTCTTGCAGGTTTCTAGGTCGATGTTTAGGACTGGCGTCTCTGGACCTTCAAAAGCTTTGGGAACGATCCCTAGATGCAGTAGAGGACATCCTTAGTGTACCAGTCCAAGTAAGGGTAGGCGATAAAAATAAAAAACAGCCGTGGGCTTTTTTTTTAGATTTTCAAGGTCGTAGCCTTTCCAAATATTGTATTAAAAGTATTTTCAATTTTTCCATTCTTTCTCCAGGGTGACGGTGCCCACCTTGCCCATATGGGCGAACCGCCACTGTAGTGTACAATCCCATTGCATGTGTCCAAGCTTTTGGCACCGGTAACATTTTACTCGGTTTCTCGGTGTTGGTGTTTATTTGGAGTCGTTTTCCAATTGACTAATTTCTAGTACTATACCCACTAAACAATGTAAGATCGCTTTAATATTTTAGTAATGTTTCTAGATAATATTGTAATATTTAATTTTTTATTGCTGCTATATAAGTTCAAGGTTGCTGCAATTACTGAAACGGACTTATTCTAATATTCACAAATGCAATGTTTACAAAATATACTTTTCTGCAATATCGCCTCAATCTTGTATTTTCATAAAAAATACATTATGTTTGTAATATTTAAAATGCTAGCTTACATAAACCTGAATTTAACGTTGTTTATAAAGTTAGATAAATATTACAGTTGCAATATTTTTGTTGGTACTTTACAGAAATTTACATAATGAAATATTGTACATAATATGTTTTAATATATCGTGGGGATTTGCATTATTGCAAGATCCTTTATTCGTAAATTCCTTTTTCTGCCAATCCAACTACAGACTGGAGCACAATGGTTAGTTAATAAACTTCCAATTTCCAATTGATCTTATCGCACATGCAGGGCCGTAGATTAAATAATGCCCGAAGTAAATAGATCGGCCTGAAATAGAGTAAGTGCGAGGATGAATGTCTGACGTTTGCACAGAGGAAGTTTTTCGTTTCGAAAGAGTGCGAATGGCCCGAGACGGCGCGAGAATCAGCGCCATTGTGTTTACTTGTCAGCATTGCTTGCCAGAGATGTTATTCATTGCAAGGTTGTTTGAGAGAGGTAGGTTGCCTGATAACTTTATGACGTCATCTGGGGTGCCTCAACATAATGCAAATCTCCATCAAGGTACGGTTTGTTAGGACAGAGCGCAACGCACAACTCACAACTTAAACATCGGTAGAATATGGTCCGCACGTCATTGACACACTGCTGATGCTGTACGTCACGCTCACCTGCGCAAAGCCAATAAACCGGTTCATACAATGACTTCATATAATTTGCACTCGGTTGATTTTAGTACACGTGCGCACTGCCCTAACAAACCGTACCTTAAGGTACCCCAGATCAGATACGTCATCAAGTTATCCATTACCAGACAACCTGAACCTTGATTTATTGAAAAATTTGCCTTCGGCATAGGTCAACAAAATGGGGCTGATTTTGTTGACCTATAAAAATTTTAAGGGGGGGGGTGAGTAGTGTATGCCCTATGTCAAATTTGTCATGCCCTATCATAAATTTGACTCTAGCTACGGCCCTGCGCACATGCCTATCGATTCTTCCAACATAGGTATTGTAAAAAAGCCACCTAAAATTCAAAATTAAACAGTATTAAAAAATCACAAAAAATTAAAATTTTAAAATCTTACATTGGCTTTATTCTTTCCCTCTCCCAACATCTCAAGATCTTGATGAATCCTTTCGTCCTGTTCAACTCTCCGTTATTATTGTACAGCAAAAAAAAAAGCGTCGTCTGCGTCCTCCGTCCTCCTCCGTGGTGCGTCTGCGCCGTTCCGAATTTCCAAACAATTGTCCCGTCCTTGTCGGTCAAATATATTTATGCATGACAGAGACAAAGACAGCAGATTGCAAATAAAATCTATCTGCAAGTTTTATGCAACATTGAGAAAATATATGTTTCCTATTCCAAAGTTAATGTTGAAATATTTATGTAACGTTTTTTATTCTTGAAACGGTTAACGTTTGCATGTAAAGGTATTTGCAACATTACATCGACAGTTTTAAGAAAAGTTGAGCTTATAATATTTATGCAACCATTTATTTTAATATATTTTTTTAATGTTACAAACGTAAATATTTCCGCAACATTAAAGCGACAGAGTTGAGAACATTGTTATATAATATTTGCTTTACTTACATTTTATAATGTTTCAAATGTAATACATTATTGTATCTACTGCAACATTTACTCAATAATAAAAACAAATGTTTCTCTATTGAAGTTATATTAAATTTATATCCCTTTACATTGGATAAGTAATATTTTAGAAAGCTTATCGTCACATTACCTAATAAATTTTCTACAGCAAGGTCGATACAATATTGCCGTCAAATTTTGCAACATTACATGTTTAGTGGGTAGTTTCTTCATCTTCTCCATGAACTTACTCATAAGATTCTTTAAGCTACCATCTTTTTTTGACGTTTGTTCATTCTTTGGGTCTTGAATGGACACTGCTCGTATTCTGGGTGTTGAGGCACCAAAGATTGCTTCCAGTTCCAATACTCGGACAAAGGGCTTCGCCACTTTTTCTGAACTGGAACATTCTTAGGTTTTTTTGGATCTTGGAATCTCTGAGACCATCATTAAACGCAGAAACTGCTATCATCCATTCCTGCATGTCTTCCTCAGGCTCAGCTGCAGGAAACGCCAAACTCACTAGCCTTTTAACTTCCGATTCGAATTCTTGTAAACTCTCGCCGGGTTTTTCAAATTCTTAATTTAACTTGACTTCTAAATAGGTACGCAATGGTCCCCGATTTCCGAAGCGCAATTCTGATAGTTCTATACACCCTGACGCTTCCGCCAGATTCTCGAGACAGTATTATATAGGTTTTCTCAAGGAAGATTAAATTCTGTAGAAATCCTCTGAGAACGGATTCAGATTGCTTTTAGGTACCTATATAGTTTGACAAATTTTGCTTCAATAAATTTGAAACTCTGCCGAAATTTTTTTCAACTTCAAATTCAAATTACCTACCTACCTACTCAAAAACTATAGGTACCTACACTTGGCCAAACATAAAGCTGATACAGGCAATATAGGTATATCTACCTATTTTTCAAATTTGCCTAGTGCGTGAGTGAGGCTTGACAACAATAAGTCTCTTCTGAAAAACTTAGGTAAGCGGTAAAGATATTTATATCAAATAAGGCAGGAGCAAAAAGAAAAACAGAGTAGTTTATTAGCAATGCTGTATATTTGTATAGAGATAAATTATGTAGGTATAGATACAAATTATGTATGAAATTATAATAAATAATATGCAATAATGTTTGGTGATTTTTGTTATTTAACAGTAATAAATTATGATCTTTCCTACCCTGTAAAAGATGTAAAAATGTCTGTGGTGAAAACCAAAACTATTTGGAAAGCATTAAGTACCTACCTATTTTAAAAAAAAAACTGCTCATAGATAAAATATTGTATATCACACGTACAGTAGTGCTCATTACAGCACTTTGTGTGGTTTTATTCACCACTCGTTATTGTAATTAAGCTCATATAGGAACACACTAGTTATAATGGTTCCTGAAATTTCTCATCCTATAAGAGGGGGTGAAGATTAAGTAATCCTTCGTTGCGTTCAAGAAATTAATTTTCTGACAAGAAAAAACACAAAGTGAATGGCAGTTTTGGCTGCAAGAAATTGCAGATATCGTGACATGGTATTACAAATTTGCTCACAATTTCCCTAACTTTCAAGGAATCAAGTTGTATTATATGTTTCCTGAAAGAGCATTAAATTCTCTATAAATCCTCTGAAAACGGATTCGGTTGCTTTTATAGAGTTCGAGAAATTTCGCTTCAAAGTTGAAACTTTCTCCAAAACTTCAAGTTCAAATTACTCAAAAACTTATTGTTATTGCCAGACAGAGGACTGATTTGATCTCTTGTACTACAATAAATTATCATAAATAATTGTACTTTGCATCTGCAAAATTTCTCATTATTTGCAATCCTTGCAAATCTCAATCTTAAGGTCAGACAAATTTGGTGCATTGTCCTCATCTTAAAATCTTAAGCTTGAAATAAACAATTTATTTATTGTTTGTTTTTTTATGATAAGTAATTAATACTTTATTGTTTAAAAGTAAATTACCTATCTGATTTTAATTAGAATTTCAATTTAATCTCTTATCAGCTTATCTTGTTTGCGGGCAATTTTTGAAATTAAAATAAGCCCGCCTTTTTAAAACGTCACCAAGCTATTCCTTGAACAGCTGATTCGACTATGTAGTTTTCTTTTTCTACTTCAATGTATCAAAAAGAGAGAAAAAATCACAGTTACACGATCAAACTACTCACAGCTACAACCAATCACTGCGAGACAACACAAAACACAAAAGTCATAAAAAGGGGGTCCACGTAAATTTTCCTTGACAGTGCATCGAGAAATTCATCTTGCCGGTTGGCTTATTCAATTTTCCAAAGGTAAAATGCATTTTCTAAAGATTTTCGCGGTAGTTTTGCTGGCCACTTGTGCCCTGGCCAAAGAAGAAGACGTCCTGGACCTTATGGACCATGATTTTGATTCTAGACTAGCCGAACACGACACTGCTTTGGTCATGTTTTATGCCCCATGGTAAGAACTACATTTTAAGTTGATTTTTATAAGTAGAGCTACATTGGTTTCATTACTTTAATGTAGGAAGAATGAATGAACATCAACCCTGTAGAAACCAGGGTATAACATATATATAACACATCTTCCAGATACCTACCATGGGTTTGTAGTATTTCCTGTTGTTTTGATGCTTCCCGGATCATGTAGGAGTTGTAGTTATCTAAGGAATATACCTACACATTTTTTTTTTCTCAAAGAAATATTAAAGATACTTATAACTAGTGAATTGAATGCAATAATACCAGGATTGTCTAGATTCAGTTGTAGATACCTATAAAATGAACATTTTAGGTCGAAATTTTCGTCAAAACTTCTGCTTGGGAAAATATGAAATTTTCAAGGAGTTATCAGCAGATTTGTACACTGTCCTACAAGTTCCACATGTTTTCAATGTCCTGCACAAATCTTGTAAAAGTCCTGTAGGTTTTGCACAAGTCTTAAGTCCTGTAGACTAAGCACAAATCCCCTTGATTCTGTGCAATGCCTAAAACTTGTGCATATAATTCAAAATTCGTATACAACCGTTTATGGGTTGGTTTTTCATAAAACTGACTTTTATTCCAGTTTTTTTTTTGCATAACACCATTTCTGTGGGGTCCTGTATTTTAGTCCTGTTGATGTATATCCCGTCCACAATCCGATGTCCACAGGTGCAGGTAGATTTATCACCTTTCCCTATCAAATAGCATTGAAAGGTGATAAACTTTACCCGCACCAGTGGACATCGGATTGTGAACGGATAATAGGTACAACTATATAGTTCTGCTGAAGTACTGTATAGTCCTGTTGAAGTACTGTGAGTCTTGTTGATTACTCTATAGTTCTATTCAAGCGAGAGGTGTTTCACTCATGCAGTAGGTGTACAAATATCATACATTCATGTATAATGCATTCCATAAATTTTCATGCAGTCAATGGACTCATGCGGTCATAATACAGTAGGTGTACAAAATTTAGTGGGTGAAACACCCTTCATATTCAGGTCCTATTTGAAAATTTGTTCACCTACTGTAGACACCTAGAAACCACTTGGAAATTTCAATCAGGTAGCCACATTTCAAATCTCAGTTTTTCCCCCAGTTTTTCCTATGAAAACCAGTATGCAGTGGTACAGATTTGCCAATCAGAGAAAAACTTTGCTTATTGAAAAATGAAAATTGTCGCTTTTACAGGGATATAATTAAAATTTTATGTATACACCCTGATTTATGTAGCCCATGCATTAGAAATTTTCCAATTTGCAGGTGGATTAGTGGAGATCTAATCGACGCAATGTTGAGAAAAACGGTAGTAATCATTTTTCGAGAGATAAATGTGAAATTATATTCATGAATGCTCAAGATATAATTTTTCTTTCAAGAGGCAAACCACCTAGGAATTCTTTGCCAAAAATGTGGGGAATTTGGAGGAATTTGTGAGGAATTTGAAGGAACTTATCCGAATTTATGAGAATTTGGGGAATTTATAGGGAATTTGGAGGAATTTATGGGGAATTTGAGAGAATTTGTGAGGAATTTAAAGGAAATTGTTAAATTTAAAAAATTCAAAAAAAAAAAAATTAATACAGTTTTTGTAGGCTGATTTCCAAGATTTTTCATGTTGTTATTTTCCACTAGAAAAATTTGAAATTTTGGGAAAATAAGCTTCTTACCTTCTTTACATGCAAAAAGTTTCAAAATTTGCCCTTTATTAGTTTTCCAGGAAAAATTTGAAGTGTGTGAGACTGTATTTTCAACTAATTCAGTTTTTGTAGGTTAATTTCCAAGATTTTTCATGTTGTCATTTTTCACTGGAAAAATTTGAAACTCTGGGAAAATGAGCTTCCCCCTTCTTCTTTACATGCAAAAAGTTTCAAAATTTTCCCTTTACTAGTTTTCCAGGAAAACTTTGATGAAATATGTGAGACTGTATTTTCAACCTATTCAGTTTTTGTAGGTTGATTTCCAAGATTTTTCATGTCTCTGTTTTCTACAGGAAAAATTTGAAATTCTGGGAAAATGAGCTTCTCACCTTCCTCTTTATAAGCAAGAAGTTTTAAAATTTTCCCTTCACTAGTTTTCCAGGAAATCTCTGAAATGTATGAGACTGTATTTTCAACTTATTCAGTTTTTGGAGGTTGATTTCCAAGATTTTTCATGTTGCTGTTTTCTACTGGAAAAAATTGAAATTTTGGGAAAATGAACTTCTCACCTTCCTCTTTACATGCAAAAAGTTTCAAAATTTTCCCTTCACTAGTTTTCCAGGAAATCTTTGAAATGTGTGAGACTGTATTTTCAACTAATTCAGTTTTTGTAGGTTGATTTCCAAGATTTTTCATGTTGCTGTTTTCTACAGGAAAAACTTGAAATTCTAGGAAAATGAGCTTCTCACCTTCCTCTTTATAAGCAAGAAGTTTTGAAATTTTCCCTTCACTAGTTTTCCAGGAAATCTCTGAAATGTATGAGACTGTATTTTCAACTTATTCAGTTTTTGTAGGTTAATTTCCAAGATTTTTCATGTTGCTGTTTTCTACTGAAAAAAATTGAAATTTTGGGAAAATGAACTTCTCACCTTCCTCAATACATGCAAAAAGTTGCAAAATTTTCCCTCCACTAGTTTTTCAAGAAATCTTTGAAATGTGTGGGACTGTATTTTCAACTAATCCAGTTTATGTAGGTTGATTTCCAAGATTTTTCATGTTGTTATTTTCCACTGAAAAAATTTGAAATTTTGGGAAAATAAGCTTCTTACCCTCTTCTTTACATGCAAAAAGTTTAAAAAATTGCCCTTTACTAGTTTCCCAGGAAAACTTTGAAATATCTAAGACTGTATTTTCAATTAATTCAGTTATTGTAGGCTGATTTCCAAGATTTGTTAAATTCAAGAAATTCAAAAAAAAAAAAAATGAATACAGTTTTTGTAGGCTGATTTCCAAGATTTTTTATGTTGTTATTTTCGGGGTTATTTTCCACTAGAAAAATTTGAAATTTTGGAAAAATAAGCTTCTTACCTTCTTTACATGCAAAAAGTTTCAGTGAGACTGTATTTTCAACTTATTCAGTTTTTGTAGGTTAATTTCCAAGATTTTTCATGTTGCTGTTTTCTACTGAAAAAATTTGAAATTTTGGGAAAATGAACTTCTCACCTTCCTCTTTACATGCAAAAAGTTTCAAAATTTTCCCTTCACTAGTTTTCCAGGAAATCTTTGAAATGTGTGAGACTGTATTTTCAACTAATTCAGTTTTTGTAGGTTGATTTCCAAGATTTTTCATGTTGCTGTTTTCTACAGGAAAAACTTGAAATTCTAGGAAAATGAGCTTCTCACCTTCCTCTTTATAAGCAAGAAGTTTTGAAATTTTCCCTTCACTAGTTTTCCAGGAAATCTCTGAAATGTATGAGACTGTATTTTCAACTTATTCAGTTTTTGTAGGTTAATTTCCAAGATTTTTCATGTTGCTGTTTTCTACTGAAAAAAATTGAAATTTTGGGAAAATGAACTTCTCACCTTCCTCAATACATGCAAAAAGTTGCAAAATTTTCCCTCCACTAGTTTTTCAAGAAATCTTTGAAATGTGTGGGACTGTATTTTCAACTAATCCAGTTTATGTAGGTTGATTTCCAAGATTTTTCATGTTGTTATTTTCCACTGAAAAAATTTGAAATTTTGGGAAAATAAGCTTCTTACCCTCTTCTTTACATGCAAAAATAAAAAATTGCCCTTTACTAGTTTCCCAGGAAAACTTTGAAATATCTAAGACTGTATTTTCAATTAATTCAGTTATTGTAGGCTGATTTCCAAGATTTGTTAAATTCAAGAAATTCAAAAAAAAAAAAAATGAATACAGTTTTTGTAGGCTGATTTCCAAGATTTTTTATGTTGTTATTTTCGGGGTTATTTTCCACTAGAAAAATTTGAAATTTTGGAAAAATAAGCTTCTTACCTTCTTTACATGCAAAAAGTTTCAGTGAGACTGTATTTTCAACTTATTCAGTTTTTGTAGGTTAATTTCCAAGATTTTTCATGTTGCTGTTTTCTACTGAAAAAATTTGAAATTTTGGGAAAATGAACTTCTCACCTTCCTCTTTACATGCAAAAAGTTTCAAAATTTTCCCTTCACTAGTTTTCCAGGAAAACTTTGAAATGTGTGAGACTGTATTTTCAATTAATTCAATTTTTGTAAGTTGATTTCCAAGATTCCTTATGTTGTAATTTTCCACTGGAAAAATTTGAAATTTTGGGAAAATCAGCTTCTAACTTTCCTCTTTCCATGCAAAAAGTTTCAAAATTTTCCCTTCACTAGTTTTCCAGAAAAACTTTAAAATGTGTGAGACTGTATTTTCAATTAATTCAGTTTTTGTAAGTTGATTTCCAGGATTTTTCATGTTGTTATTTTCCACTGGAAAAAATTGAAATTTTGGGAAAATGAGCTTCTCACCTTTCTCTTTACATGCAGAAAGTTTCAAAATTTTCCCTTCACTAGTTTTCCAGGAAAACTTTGAAATGTGTGAGCCTGTATTTTCAATTAGTTCAGTTTCTGTAGGTTGATTTCCAAGATTTTTCATGTTGCTGTTTTTTACTGGAAAAAAATAAGCTTCTCACCTTTCTCTTTACATGCAAAAAGTTTCAAAATTTTCCCTTCACTAGTTTTCCAGGAAAACTTTGAAATGTGTGAGACTGTATTTTCAATTAATTCAATTTTTGTAAGTTGATTTCCAAGATTCCTTATGTTGTAATTTTCCACTGGAAAAATTTGAAATTTTGGGAAAATCAGCTTCTAACTTTCCTCTTTACATGCAAAAAGTTTCAAATTTCTCCCTTCACCAGTTTTCCAGGAAAACTTTGAAATGTGTGAGACTGTATTTTCAATTATTTCAGTAATTGTAGGTTGATTCCCAAGATTCCTTATGTTGTAATTTTCCACTGGAAAAATTTGAAATTTTGGGAAAATGAGCTTCTCACCTTTCTCTTTACATGCAAAAAGTTTCAAAATTTTCCCTTCACTAGTTTTCCAGGAAAACTTTGAAATGTGTGAGACTGTATTTTCAATTAATTCAATTTTTGTAAGTTGATTTCCAAGATTCCTTATGTTGTAATTTTCCACTGGAAAAATTTGAAATTTTGGGAAAATCAGCTTCTAACTTTCCTCTTTACATGCAAAAAGTTTCAAATTTCTCCCTTCACCAGTTTTCCAGGAAAACTTTGAAATGTGTGAGACTGTATTTTCAATTAATTCAGTTATTGTAGGCTGATTTCCAAGATTCCTCATGTTGTAATTTTCTACTTGAAAAATTTGAAATTTTGGGAAAATGAGCTTCTCAGCTTCCTCTTTACATGCAAAAAGTTCCAAAATTTTCCCTCCACTAGTTTTTCAAGAAATCTTTGAAATGTGTGGGACTGTATTTTCAACTAATCCAGTTTATGTAGGTTGATTTCCAAGATTTTTCATGTTGTTATTTTCCACTGGAAAGATTTTGGGAAAATAAGCTTCTTACCTTCTTCTTGACATGCAAAAAGTTTTAAAAAATTCCCTTTACTAGTTTTCCAGGAAAACTTTGAAATATCTAAGACTGTATTTTCAATTAATTCAGTTATTGTAGGCTGATTTCCAAGATTTGTTAAATTAAAAAAAAAAAATGAAAACAGTTTTTGTAGGCTGATTTCCAAGATTTTTTATGTTGTTATTTTCGGGGTTATTTTCCACTAGAAAAATTTGAAATTTTGGGAAAATAAGCTTCTTACCTTCTTTACATGCAAAAAGTTTCAGTGAGACTGTATTTTCAACTTATTCAGTTTTTGTAGGTTAATTTCCAAGATTTTTCATGTTGCTGTTTTCTACTGAAAAAATTTGAAATTTTGGGAAAATGAACTTCTCACCTTCCTCTTTACATGCAAAAAGTTTCAAAATTTTCCCTCCACTAGTTTTTCAGGAAATCTTTGAAATGTTTGGGACTGTATTTTCAACTAATCCAGTTTATGTAGGTTGATTTCCAAGATTTTTCATGTTGTTATTTTCCACTGAAAAAATTTGAAATTTTGGGAAAATAACATTCTTACCTTCTTCTTTACATGCAAAAAGTTTCAAAATTTTCCCTTTACTAGTTTTCCAGGAAAACTTTGAAATATCTGAGACTGTATTTTCAATTAATTCAGTTATTGTAGGCTGATTTCCAAGATTCCTCATGTTGTAATTTTCTACTTGAAAAATTTAAAATTTTGGGAAAATGAGCTTCTCAGCTTCCTCTTTACATGCAAAAAGTTTCAAAATTTTCCCCGGAAATCTTTGAAATGTGTGAGACTGTATTTTCAACTTATTCAGTTTTTGTAGGTTGATTTCCAAGATTTTTCATGTTGCTGTTTTCTACAGGAAAAATTTGAAATTCTGGGAAAATGAGCTTCTCACCTTCCTCTTTATAAGCAAGAAGTTTTAAAATTTTCCCTTCAATAGTTTTCCAGGAAATCTCTGAAATGTATGAGACTGTATTTTCAATTTATTCAGTTTTTGTAGGTTGATTTCCAAGATTTTTCACGTTGCTGTTTTCTACTGGAAAAATTTGAAATTTTGGGAAAATGAGCTTCTAACCTTTCTTTTTACATGTAAAAAGTTTCAAATTTCCCTCTTCACTAGTTTCCCAGGAAAACTTTGAAATGTATGATACTGTATTTTCAACTAATTCTGTTTTTGACTTTTAGGTTGGAAAATGAGCTTCTCACCTTCCTCTTTACATACAAAAAGTTTCAAAATTTTCCCTATTTTTAGAGGAATTTGTGGGGTATTTGGAAAAGTTCGTGGTATGGTATTTAGAGGAATTACTGATAAGATATCTGGAGGAATTTGTAGGAATTTTGAGGAATTATGCGTAAAAATTTCCCCTTTGAGGATTTGTTTGCATCAATTCTGGGATGGCGGTTTTCCCCTTGTTTTCTTTCTACTGGGATTTTTATTTTTGGCTTAAATGCTTTTTCTGTGACTGACTACTAACTATTTCCTCCTCTATTTTCCTTTCCATATTTTCCTCTGTGCTCTATAAAGCTCACTCTCTATGTCTTGTAAATTTTATCCCCATATTCTCATTTTCTTGTTTTTCATCATCAGTTTATATTTTGTTGAAATCAATAAAATTACCATCAACCTAACAATTCAGACAAACAAAATCCTGTTCTCTAGGTGTGGTCACTGTAAACGTCTGAAACCAGAATACGCCAAAGCCGCAGAAGATCTCATCAGAAACGACCCTCCGGTCGCCCTGGTAAAAGTCGACTGTACCGAAGGCGGAAAAGAAACTTGCAACAAAAACTCTGTCAGCGGATACCCGACATTGAAAATTTTCCGTAACGGTGAATTCTCCCAAGATTACAACGGGCCTAGAGAAGCGAACGGCATTGTAAAGTACATGAAAGCTCAAGTTGGTCCAGCCTCCAAAGAACTCAAATCTGTGGCTGACTTGGAAAAATTCTTGGCTGCCGAAAAAGAATCTGTTGTAGTTGGTTTCTTTGAAAAGGAATCCGATCTTAAAACTGCCTTCTTGCAATTGGCTAACAAGTTGAGAGAAAAAGTCCAATTTGCCCATTCATCATTTGCCGCTGTTTTAGAAAAACAAGGAACCACTGATGGAGTTGTTCTATTCCGTCCTGCCCATTTGAAAAACAAATTTGAAGATGCTTCTGTTACATATTCAGGAAAAGCTGATTCTGCTGACTTGAATGAATGGGTCACCAAAAACTTCTATGGTTTAGCAGGTGTACGTAAAGGTGACAACCAACGCGAATTCAAGAACCCACTTGTAGTGGTTTATTACGGAGTTGACTATGTCAAGAACCCTAAAGGAACCAACTACTGGCGTAACAGAGTATTGAAAGTAGCCAAAAACTTTGAAGGCAAAGTAAACTTTGCTATATCACCAAGCGACGAATTTACTCACGAATTAAATGAATTCGGAATTGAATTTGCTCAAGCTGACAAACCAAGAGTAGCTGCCAGAGACGCCAATGACAAAAAATACGTACTCAGAGAAGAATTCTCTGTAGAAGCTCTCGAATCTTTTGTTAATGATCTTTTGGAAGGCAACTTGGAAGCTTACATTAAATCTGAACCCATTCCAGAAAGTCAAGATGGTCCAGTGGTTGTAGCTGTTGCCAAAAACTTCGATGACGTTGTTACTAACAATGGAAAAGATACTTTGATTGAATTTTATGCTCCTTGGTGTGGACATTGTAAGAAATTGGCTCCTACTTTTGATGAATTAGCAGAAAAAGTAAGAATAATATTGTTAGATGATATATATTTTTTTAATTTATCAATATTTTTCAAGCTTAAAGATGAAGATGTTTCCATTGTCAAAATGGATGCCACAGCAAATGACGTTACTGGTCCATTTGATGTTCGAGGTTTCCCCACTTTATACTGGGCTCCTAAAGACAAAAAGAGCAGTCCTGTCAGATACGAGGCAAGAATAAATATACTCTCAGTTTTTTTAATCAAACTCAACTATTTTTGTTTTAGGGTGGACGTGAAGTAGATGATTTCGTGAAATACATTGCTAAAGAAGCAACCAATGAATTGAAGGGTTGGGATAGAAGCGGTAATCCCAAGGATGTTAAGACTGAATTGTAGATTGTTGTGTTATTTAAGTTATTTTGTATTTTTATACCCGTGCCGGGCCTTCAAACACACACAAAAACATTTGCTTTATACATTTTGAACAGATTTATTTTAGGTTTTCGAAAAGTATATTTTTTCAATTATCCAATGTAATTTGTGGAACTTTATTTTACTGTTCCTTCCATCAATGTGAACTTCCTAGAAAGTTATCAAATAAGAAGCTATATTGTTTTGATCCTACATGTTTAGCTTTAATTTTTTTTTAACAGGCACTTTTTGCAATACTCTGTAGGTTTGTTGTAGATTCGACACAATATGGCTTTTTTTTGGTTTATGTTGTAATGATGTAAATTATTTAATAGAGAAATCAATTTACAACTTCTATAACTAGTGAGTTTTAATTAGATACCCTTAAAATAATTAGTATTGGCAATTTTCCGTCTAAACTCTCAATCGAATGAAAAGTTTGAATGTCAAGACTAAAAAGTAGGAAAATTCCCCAAAATCAACAGCAGGGTAGAGAAAAAAAGAGTATTCAATATTCCCGGGTACTCTGTTTGCTAAATAAAATGCTTTGGGAATTGTTGTTATTGAAATGGAAAAACCATATCACTGGCATCATAAAGAAGTCAAACTCCATCATGCACTTGATCTTCAAGACTTTATTTATTCAATTAGAGCATTTAAATTGCCTAATAAACTACTACTTTGTTTTCCTTTTTCTTCTCATCGCTCGTTTTGGTGGATCGTCGTCGTCTTCAGGATCATCTTGATTTTTGTTCCACTCCTTTTTCAGTTCACTCAACATCGTAGGCGTCAAAATACCTTGTGCTAGAAGTCGTTCTGTTAACCTGCCCCTTCCTATAGCTGACAAAGATTGATCTACAAAACAAAAACATTAATATTTTAATAATCCTAATTGAAATCTCACTTCTCAAATAATTTTGCTTCTTGGTATTACTATCAAATTGTTCGTCATCTGCACCTGAAGTCCCAGAACTGATTCCAGTTTCAGAATTCCTCAGCAAACGAGTCAATTGAACTACCCCTTGCTGAATAATTTGATCTAACTCTTTTTGCATGTCCCTTATTAGATTTGGTTCGTTGAATAAATCCATAAAACGATAGCTGAATAAATACCAATTAACACCTGTTAATTGCATCAATTAAAAACATACCTCAACCATAAATATAAATCCAAAACATCAAAAACAGCTTCTAAATGTACCAAATCTATAATGGTCCTTGGAGGTTGAAGGGGCCAACCAATAGATCTGCACAGCCAATCAAATGTGATTGGTTCGTTTTTACTAAATTGTCTTGTGAACTAAAAATAAATATTTTATTGAGAAGATTTTTGATCAGTGTGACTTACCTTAAGAAACATTGTACAAACAAAAGGCATTTTTTTATTAATCGGTGAACAACAAAATATGTATCTGGCTCTCAAAGGTAAAGGCACGTGCTGTATCATGTCGGCCAAAAATTTGAAATCTTCAATATTGCACATGAAATACAAAGAATTATCTACAGTGGATAGATTCACAAAGATGTCCTAAAAATAATTATTTAATTTTGCAAGGATATACAAATAAATATTTACCATTAAGTTACTTAAAGTAGAATTAGGTAAGTGGTAGGCATATAATTCGATTTGTTCGGCTGTTGGGTGTAAGCCAGCTTGTGTTATGGGCTCTGGCTGTGAGGATAATAAGCTTTTAAGAGTTGGAAGATCTTCTGTTTTGAATGTTGTTACAAATCCTTGTTCCCATTGAGTACCATACCTTTGAAAAAAGCATACCAGAATAGTTATTATTCTCACAGGTTTTGAATTCACTCACCTACCAGCACGTCCAGCAATTTGTAAGGCTTGTGATACCGAAATTGTGTCCATCTCTTTTTCACCTTTTTCATTCATGATGGGTTTGATTAGGGAATAGAAAATTACTCTTCTTATGCTCCTAAAAATAATTTATAAGATTTTTGTGTAAAAATTTGTGATTTTCATTACAAATTCAGTCCCATTCCAATAGCATCTGTTGCAACTAATATTTTACAACTATTTTCAGGATCGTTGAATTTCGCAGCTTGTGCCAGTTTAGTACCTGGCGGTAAACCACCATAAATAACAGCTACTTCTTTGCCGCTGCCTTCTATACCTCTAGATACTGAGTAAATGTCGTTTTTACTGAAACAAACTATACAGTCACCTGGCTGTACATTTGCCAAGCTTCCTGAAAAAGAAACATTCCTATGTAAGATTTGTCTCAATATTTTCCAAAATTATTCATTTAATTAAAGTCTTTAAATCCTGAATAGCCTTCAGGAGTTTTCAGGATTCAGTTTGGACCTTTAGAATCTTTTGCCTCATATGATGAATCTTGAAGACTTCAATGTTGAGTGTCGTGGCACTCAGAAAAATTGAACAATTGATAAATCACCCCAAATTTCTTAACACGATTTTATCTCAGGAACTATAAGTGCAAATGAGTTAAAATTTTCAGGGATTGTAGTCCTTTTATTGAGAAAAGATTCAGTGAAAATTTCAGCTTTCTATCTATAATAGAAAAAAAGCTATGCCCTTTCAAAGTTTTCCAAAATCTATATCATAAGGTCTACCTTCTTACTAAAATGATGAAATTTCAATTTTTTTTTTTTTTTTTCGAGATTTTGTGTCCTTATGGTCCCTCGTGATACCCTGAACTCCATAAACTAAATTATTCCGAGATTTGGAGCCAAAATCTATGAAAAAAGCCACTCAGAAAAATTGAAATATTGATAAATCACCCCAAATTGCTTAACACGATTTTATCTCAGGAACTATAAATGCAAATGAGTTGAAATTTTCAGGGATTGTAGTCCCTTTATTGAGATAAATTTCAATGAAAATTTCAGCTTTCTACCTATAAAAGAAAAAAAGGTAGGCCCTTCCAAAGTTTTCCAAAATCTAGATCATAAGGTTCTTTCTTACTAAAACGATGAAATTTCAATTTTTTTTTTGTTGAGATTTTGTATGCTAATGTTCAATTAACATCCCTCAAACTCCATACACTAAATTATTCTCAGATTTGAAGCCGAAATCTATAAAAAAGGCACTAAGAAAAATTGAAAAATTCATAAATCACCCCAAATTTCTTAACACGATTTTATCTCAGGAACTATAAGTGCAAATGAACTGGGAACAGGGATTGTAGTCCCTTTATTGAGATAAGATTCAGTAAAAATTTCAGCTTCCTATCTATAATAGAAAAAAAGTTATGCCCTTCCAAAGTTTTACAAAATCTAAAACAACCTTTTTACTAAAACAATGAAATTTCAAAAAAATTTTGTTGAGATTTTGTGTCCAAATGGTCTCTCGTGATACCCTGAACTCCATAAATTAAATTATTCAGAGATTTGATGAATGATGAACCTTGAAGATTTCAATGTTGAGTATTGTGTCTCAAGAATCTCTGAAGACTTTAATCATATCGCCATAAATTTTAACATATCTCAAAGTCAGAAACTTCAGAATGTATTAAATATTAACAATATTTGACTGTGGCGTTCTTAAGATCTTAAGTTTAGTCTTAAGCATGACTAAGTCTTTAAATTTTCAGTGTCTTGAAAAGCTTTAGTTTTAATAGAATTTTCAGGCTTTTCCGGTATGTTTACTCAATGTTAGCTCTAGAAGATCCAGAACTAAACTCAAATAAGCCCTTTGTAATTGGGTAAACTGGCTCAAATTCAACTCAGAATGGTCAGAAATCAGAGTTTTATCACTCTAGTTGAAATTTCTAACATAGGAGAGCTAGTCATAAGATTTTTCAACTTCTAACATTGCATTTAAACTCTGATGAATCAAAAAATACCTTTGTAAACTGCCCTCTTAAGAATTATTGGAAATCAGAATTTCATATTTCAGTTCTAGTAGAGCCTGTAATATAATTCTAATTCTTCTCTATTTCAAAATGCAGCTCTAGAAGAGCCAAGAATAAGATTTTTAAGCTTGTGTCATTGAATTTAAGCTCTGATGAATCAAAAATGGCCTTTGTAAACTAGCTTCCTAAAGATCCCCAGATATAAGAGTTTTATAATTCAGTTCTAGTTCAATTTCAGCTCTAGTAGATCTTGTAATGTGTGCCGAAAATAGGATTTTTATGCATATCCAGATCAGTTTTATCTCTACAAGACTCAATAAGCCTCTTCGGGTTTGGAAAAAGGACGGTTCAAAACAATCGTACAGTTTATTGATCAACAAAATAACAACGACTTGGCTATCACAAATTTCAATAATGAACTGTGCGATTCTTTTAGACCGTTCTAGAACCGTACTTTTTTTTGAAACCCGAATAGGCCCAATGTTGACTCTAAAATTGTTGAAAATCAAATAGTTTTTGTGTTGCAGACACCCTCTATACAATTCATAGTAAATCAATTTTCTTTGTTAAGTACTCGGTTAAGTAAAAATAGGGTATTTAATTTGATTTTTGTCTTGCCTGTTGTCTATCATAAATACCTGTTGTGAAATTAAATATTTTGTAATGCTTTTCTTGTTGTAATAATTATTAATAAAAGGTCCATGTTATAAAGAATGCTGAATGATTATTTGAAGAAGAAGAACAGGTCACGGGCCCAGGAAACTCTATTTTGTGAAATAAAATAAAATGAGCACCATGGCAGGAAAAAATAACACTTTCAATATTGAGTCCTTGAATGACAAAAATTATCAAGCTTGAAAATTCAGAATGGGTATATTATTGGAAGAAAAAGATGTTAAAGATTCTGTAGAGAAGGAATTCAGGGCCACTGATTATACTGATGAAAAGAAATTGCAAGAAGCTAAGAAGAAAGATCAGCGATATAAGTCTTATATTGTACAATGCTAAGAAGATACACAGTTAGATACAATTCGAGACAAGGAAACTGCCTATGCTATGTGGAAAAGCTCATAGGATCGCTACGAGAAAAAAGGTATATCAGGACAACTCATGCTAAGTCGTAAATTAATGTCTATGAAACTTAATGAAATGGAAAATTTGGAACATTTCTTAAAAGAATTTGATGACACTATCAGACAATTAAAGGCCACAGGTGCTGATATCCAAGATGAAGATATAGTTTGCAGTTTGTTACTAGCAATGCCAAAGAGTTTTGAAACAGTTATAACCGTTTTAGAAAATATGGATCCAGGTGATTTAACTATTAATTTAGTCAAATCAAAGTTAAAAAGTGAGGTTGAAAAGAAGAGAGCAATTACTGAAACAACTATGAAGCAGCATGGAAGTGATGTCAACAAAGCTGCAGCATTTATGACAGATAGAGTTTTTGACAGAAATGTATGTTTTCAATGTGGAAAAAGAGGTCATTTTAAAAATGATTGTCCTAATAATATTAACCATGATACATCGGAAAGACGTGGTTTCGGATTAAGAAGAAGCTTTAATAGAGGTGGTTTTTCGAGAGGTTTCAGTCAAAGTTTCGGAAGAGGCTATAATCAAGGTGGTTTTCGAGGTAATTCTAACGAATGAGGAAGATTTCAAAGAAGCGGTTACAGAAGTAGAGGCAGAGGCTATCAAAATCGACATTATGGCAATGAAAGAGGAGGTCATGAAGGTTATTGGACTGAGACAAATGTTGAATCCGAACAAGATCCAATATGTTTTATGACAAATAATAATGACAATGACACTGTAAGTATTAAATTAAAACTGATGAACTTTTATTTTATATTGATTCTGGGTGTACAGATCATTTAATTAATGACAAAAAATATTTCTCTGATTATTTGGAGCTTGAGAATCCTATAAATATAGCAGTAGCTAAAGATAAAAGTTTTATGCAAGCAGTAGGAGTAGGAAACATTAAAGTTTCGAGCAAAATTTATGATAAGGAGGTAGAATGTATAATAAAAAATGTGTTCTATGTACCCAACCTGAGACGAAATTTATTATCAGTAAAAAAGTTAGAAATCGCAAATATTAGAGTAGTTTTTGATCAGGGAAAAGTGTTTTTATTTAGTAACAAAGCATTAGTTGGTTTAGGACATAGAGATAAATTGTATGAAATTTTATTTAAATTTGAAAATAATAAAGAATGTTTAAATATTGAAACTGAGGATAAAAATACGAAATTATGGCATAAAAGGTTGGGACATATTTGTTATGCAAATTTGGAAAAACTTTTCAAAAATAATTTAGCTTAGGTGAAAATAGGTAAAATTGATTTTTGTGAAGGTTAAAATTGTACTGGAAAAATGTCAAGATTTCATTTTGGTACTAGAAAAAGGTCAAAGAGAATTTTAGAAATCATACATTCAGATGTTGCTGGACCAATAATGCCATTAAGTCATGATAAGGGCAAATATTTTGTCATGTTCATTGATGATTTCTCAAATTTTGTTATGGTTTAAGTATATTATAAAAAGTAAAGTTGAAGTTTTAAGTTATTTTAAAGAATATATTAATATGGTTCAAACAAAATTTAATTTAAAGGTTTCTACACTTAGGTGTGATAATGGAAGGGAGTACATATCTGGTGAAATGAAAAACTTTTGCATTGATAATGGAACTGTTATTGATTTTTCAACCCCATAAACTCTGGAACAAAATGGAAAAGCTGAGAGAATTAATAGAAGCCTGATTGATAAAGCCAGAGCCATGATTCTAGAAGCAAATATGCCAAAGCATTTATGGAATGAAGCAGTAAGAGTTTCAGCTTATTTATTAGGTCGGCATACACACACGTTATTTCGCGCGGTTTATCGTGGCGTGTTGGGATGTAGCGGTTTGCACGCGCGAAAGAACGGCGTGGCAAAAAAAGCGTCATGTTCCATACACTTGACAAAGTATTCAAATGATTTAGCACGTGATTACGCGCGGCATATCAGTTGGAAAGGAAAAACCATATGTGTATGGGTAAAAAGTGTTATTTATCGTGTCGTTTGGAAGTGCATGTTGTCATGTACTAATTTACAACGTGATAGTTCGCCACGCGGCGTTTATAGCCAGCCACACACGAAGATTTTGGCGCGCAAATTTGGAATGTACCGTTCCAAAAGTCGCAAGATAAGTGTCACAATAACAGGTTTTGCGCGTTCTGACAAGCTTGGCGCGCAAATCGCAGGTGCAAGAGTTAACTGCACATAAACGTAAGCTTCTTGTTGTTTTTCTGGAATTTGAATTTTCGATATGGGTGACAGTCAAAAAGTACTTAAGTATGATATTTAATAGAAATTACCATAGACTAATGGATTAGGTTTAATTAATTAAGCAAATAACCCTTAAAATGTAAAGGGGATTCAAGAAAAAAAAAATCATAGTACTTATATACATATATCTAGGTATAACTATAATTTTATCGCCTATATAAGATAGAGCTGATTCGTTCACAAAAAAAGTTTAATTTATCGAAAAGGTGGTATATGACAATATATTGCCCTTTCTTCCAACCATTTTTTTGACCAAGTGGATCGTTTTTTCTTTTTTTGACTTAATTGTAAAGAATATGCATACAGCATAGCACATGCAATAACTTTTCTTTTTTTTTTATTGAGTGGAAACATAATTAATAACTAGTAAATTTACAAAAACAGTACACCTCGTAAAATTCACACACTCTTAGCAAAACTGTTAGAATTTCTAAAATGCCAGATGCCGTTCCAAATCTTTCTGATTTAAGACACTTCTAACCCATTAACGAAACACTTTGGAACGTCAGACTAAAATCTGTAGGCTAAACCCGCATGTAATTTTTGAACGTTTGTGGGCAAAGACGCTCATATGCGTGCCGTTCCAAACATGTACATCCAGAACGCCCCGCATCTACGCGCGTTATAAACTTTTCCGTGTGTGGCTGGCTTATGTCTCCGTACTACTCGTACTAGCCTCAAAACCGTGACGTGGAATGGCGTGTGGACACGGGTGTGAACATGTACTTGAGTACTGACGCCACATTCCAGATGAAAGCACGTCTAAAATCCCTTCCCATTCTATCGTTGCGTGCAGCCCTCCTAACTCACGCACATGATTTTTCACAGGTTTTTGCAGATGACACGATAAACCGCGCGAAAGAACGTGTGTCTATGCCGGCCTATCAGGCCGCGCGAAATAACGTGTGTGTATGGCGACCTATTGAATAGAACACCAACTAATAGTCTTACAAATGCAACACCAGCAGAAATTTGGAACGGATCAAAGCCAAATATAAGTAATATTAGAGTTTTTGGATGTACAGCTTATGCTCATGTACCAAAACAATTTAGAAATAAATTCGATTCAAAAGCAGTGAAAGCTGTTATGATCGGATACACAACAACTGGCTATAGACTATGGAATATTGAGGAGCAAAAAGTAATTTTAGCAAGGGACGTAGTTTTTAACGAAAACGAATTTCACTACAAACTACCAAAAGTAGGAATACAATTTGAAGAAATAGATGAAAGTAGAGAATTAGTGGAAGAGGATCCAGAAAATAATAATATGCCAGAATTAGAGGAAGAAATTTCACCAATTAGTACAAATAATAAAAGAATGTGTAAAGTACCTCAAAGATATAATGATTATGAGCTTTATATGGCGTTCGATGCTGTATCCTATGTTGAAGAAGTGCCGGAAAATTTGGAAGAAATAATGCATAAAAAAGATAAAAATTATGTGGCTGAGAGCAATAAACAAGGAAATAGAGTCAATAGAGAAGAATAAGACATGGACCAAAGTAAAGAGGCCAAAAGGAAAAGAAATTTTAAACACAAGGTAGGTATTTGCTTCAAAATGTATGGAAGAAAAAGAAGAAGACAAATATAAAGCAAGATTAGTAGTAAAGGGATATGCCCAAAGAGATTCTTTTAATTATGATGAATTGTATTCACCAGTTGTAAAAATGTCAACATAAGAATGATTTTGTCCATTGGAAATCAGTATAAGTATCATTTCAAACAATTAGATGTTAAAACCGCGTTTTTGAATGGAGATTTGAATGAGGATGTTTATATCAATCCACCAGAGATGATTGAATGTGAATCTGATAGGGTATTCAAATTAAATAAAGCTTTATATGGTTTAAAGCAAGCTTCTAAATGTTGGAATAATAAAATAAACGGCCACTTAATAGATTTAGGATTTGAAAGATCAGAAACTGATTAGGTACTGTTTGTACATAAAAGATTTTGGTAATAATGAATTAATGTATTTGCTGTTATATGTAGATGACATTATAATTACAGGACAGAATAGATAGAGATAATTTAGTAAAGTATTTTGAATTAAAGGATAAAAGGGAATTAAAACAATTTTTGGGGCTTGAAATTAATTATAAAAGACAAGAGGGAATTTTGGAGTTAAGTCAAAAAAAGATATTTAATGGGAATTCTAAAGCGTTTTAATTTTGAAAATTGTAATAGTTCACCAACACCAATTGATCCAAAGTTAAAAATTTTCCTAAATGAGAACGACAAAGGGGACAAACCTGTAAGACAATTGATTGGTTGTCTTATGTATTTATTAATGGGTTCAAGGCCAGATATAAGCTTTGCAGTTAATTAAAGTAGTTTTCAAAACAAAAATAATGATGAGGTGTGGACAGCTTTCAAAAGACTATTGAGATACTTGAAGGGGACGATTAATACAGTTTTGAAGTTTGAAAGAAAGGATGGGTCAACTCCGTTTGTTTGCTTTGTAGATTCTGATTGGGCCGGAGATGTGAATGATAGGAAGTCGGTTTCAGGCGAGGTTTCAGGATATTTAATACAGATATTTGGAAATACTATAACTTGGCTATCTCGTAAACAAAATTGTGTAGCTCTCTCTAGTTCAGAGGTTGAGTTAGTTGCCTTGTGTACAGCAGTACAAGATTGTTTATGGTTTAGGAAATTTTAAAACGTTCAAACTTTTTGAGGATAATCAGGGTTGTATTGCTTTAATCAAAAATCCAGAAAATAACAAGAGAGTTGAACACATTGATCTAAAGTATAATTTTGTTTGTGAAGCTTTAAATTCTAAGATAATGACATTGGAGTATATTGGTACAAAACTTCAATTGGCAGATGTATTAACAAAGGGCCTTCACAAAACTCAGTTTTACTTAAATTGCAATAAGATAGGGTTACAAATCAGAGAGGGATAGAATTTAGAATTTAGTATATTTTTTTTTAAGTATATTTTGACTGTTGTAAATTTTTTATTATAGAGCTCAAGCAAAGCATTAAGAGAGGGTGTTGTGAAATTAAATATTTTGTAATGCTTTTCTTGATATGTGCTGAGAAGTATGTTAGTTTGTATCATGTTTGTATCAATTTGTTTCACTAGGGTTTCCAAAAATGTGTTTTCTGAAACAATAGACAGGGCACTAGTCTTCAGGTAGATTGTCATAACTTTGTCAATTTGTCAATATCACTTGTAATAATTATCAATAAAAGGTCCATGTTATAAAGAATGCTGAATGATTATTTGAAGAAGTAATAGTAATTATTGCTGAAATCACAACAATACCTAAATAGAATTGAGAAAAAAAAAGATGTTTTGACAATTCTTGGAAAAGTTTGATGCAATAATGTAGAAGTGGCTCAAACTCAAGATTTTAGTACAAAAATCCTTACCCAATGCCCTATCTTCAACTTGTAATTCAGTCAATCTTTTATAATTCCTAATTTCAATGTCTTCACCAGTGGTAAGACATAATTGACTAATTAAATCCACAGTGCCCACTTCACCACACAAGTGAATTTCTTCTGCTTTTAAACCAAGCAAGGCACGAGTCCAGGCCCAGCCTCGTTGTGGATCTTTAATCATTTGAATTTCATCTATTACAGCTACTTCATCTAAAAATCAAGTTTTATGAAACTGTATTTTGTTTTTTTAAATGTATTTACTTACATGGAGTAGTTACTGAAGTCATTTCTACAGTGCAAGCTACATGAGCTGAAGGACTTCCTAGTGGATCGGCAAACTTTCTTTCTTCCCCAGTAACAAGATCACAAGGAGTGCCCTTTAATAATACACATAAAATATATATTTATATCAAACAAACAAACAAATTACTCTTTGGTTGCTCTTATTGTAGACTTCAGATGCTAAAAGCTTAAGGGGCCCGCAATAAACTCCAGATTTAGCCGTAATATATCTTTCCAAGGCATGGTAAGTTTTGCCAGAATTCGTAGGACCTGCATGGAAAATAATTTTCCTATTAATAGATCTGGCTTCCGGATACCAATTGGCTGGAGACCTCAAGTCAGAAATTTTCTTTAAATCGTCCATGCATTCTAAATGAGGAAACATTTGTTTGGCGTGCCTTAAAAAATATGGAAATACATCAGTGTGATTTCCAGCTCCTTGTAATATATCGCTGACGCATATGTGTAGGTCTACCGGTAAAGTGGCTGCTTCTAGGCAATACCTACGGAAACTAACATAGGCTTGGTGTTGTAGGTATTCTAAAATTTAATTTGTTTTTAGGTTTTGCGTAATAATTTGGAAACATTCTTACGGTCCAGTCCATTTTCGGTCAGTAACTGTTTGATGGCAGCATTCTGATAAAACTTGTTTAAAACCTTTAAAAGATCAGCCTTATTTAAGCTACCTGTGAGTTCTGCTCCTACATTTATATCGTCAGGATTATGTTTCACTTGAACTGGCACAAATAAAGAGGATACGTCTTTACTGGAGCCCCTTTTGCCTCTTGTTTGTACATAGTTCAAAGATCTTAGGAATTTTGATTCGTTTGAAATTTTTAAGGAATGTTGTAGCACGGTACTGAGCGTACACGATATGGCACGGAGTTTTGTTTGCGGTAGCATATTGTATTGTTAAATAACATTAATAATAGATAAATTGTAAAATAAATTTAAAGAGAAACGCACTTTTTCTTTGGAAAATAAAGTAGGGTTATGTTTTCATGAGGACAAAATATAAGGTTATGTGCTACGTCATTAGTAAAAAATGTATTTGTATCTTTGTCTTTTACATGTTGAAAGAAAAAGATGCAAAGTTGTCAATTCAAAATGCCATGTTGTCATGTGGGTCAATTTCAGTCATTGTTTATTTATTTTGATTTTGGTATTTTATAAAAATATTACAATTTCCTTCTAAAAACAAAATGATTGAGTAGTTTTCTTAAAGAAAATCAAGTTTTAAGTATTAAAATGGGTAATCAACTTGTAGGTATTGCCTCCTCTCAAATTTTTCCAGTAGAATGGTACCTGAAAGAACATCCTGAACTAAAATTTGTTAAAAGGTAAGTGGGTTATTAATCCTACAAAATACTGGTACTCCTTAATGTATGTCTTGTTTTAGTTTGGGAAGTACCAGATTCCTAAAAGTAGCTCGAGCAGAATCGCAAGAAGGCCCCGTTGTCATTAAAGTATTCGCTATACGAGACCCTTCGTTGCCTCTTCAAACCTATAAAGAACGTCTAGAAGAAATCAGAAAGAAACTTTCTACTGCTGTAAACTGTACCCCCTATCAAAAGTTTATTTTAACAGAAAAAGCTGCTTTAATTATTAGAGAATATGTTAAATATAGTTTGTACGATAGAATTAGTACCAGACCTTTTTTAACAGATATAGAAAAGAGGTAATTTTGTAATTCATAATTTTATACCTTTATTGAATTTTTATTTTCAGATGGATTACATTCCAAATATTATACGCCTTGCACCAATGCCATAAAGTAGGAGTTTGTCACGGCGATATTAAATTAGAAAACATCACAGTTACCTCCTGGAATTGGGTGATGCTTGTAGATTTTGCGTCTTTTAAGCCAACATTTTTGCCCATTGATAATCCAGGTTATTGCTAAATTCCATTAGGTCTCTTGATACTCACCAGCTATTTTGCAGGAGATTATTCTTACTTCTTTGACACATCTAGGCGTAGAACGTGCTATATAGCTCCTGAAAGATTTTCAACTACAACTAATTTGGGATCCACCAATGAGAGCAGTGCACTTATATCTGAAACAATTTGCGATTCTGGAGATCTTACTCCTGCTATGGATATTTTTTCTGCAGGGTAAGATACGATGTTATATGATACAACTACATTGCAAAGCTTTAGTTGTATTAGTGCATATATTTCTCACAAATACAATGAATTCTTCAAAGATTTGTCAATCTTAAAGTCATCCTTGTAAAAGATTGAACTCAAATTTTAAAAAATGTAGGCCTATGGAAATCTCATTTTGATCTTTCTTTTCGTGGTAAACAGTAAGATCAACTATTTTCTAGAGATTTTATATAGTGGAGATGATGATCAAATTGTTAAAAAAGATGTCAATGGAGAAGAATCCTTCCTAGTAAATCTTATTTTGGGCTCTGGAAAATTTTCAAAATCTTGATATGTCTTGAGCAATTGCCCATATCTTTGTTGAATTTTGAGCAAATTAAAATAAACTATATACCATTAGAAAGAGCCTTAAATTCTCTATAAATCAGTGCGAAATTGAGTTTAATAGCTCACATAGTTTTTGAGTAATTGAGCCTCAATGTTGATTTTTAGTCCAAATTTTGCCAAAACTAACCCAAACTCAATTTGCTCAAAAACTATAAACCTAGGAATATTATAAATTACAGGTCTTTCAGAGCTTGATAAGAGCTACAAATGCTGAAAATTTCAATGCAATTTACTCGACGGTTACTGAGCAATTGAAGTTTGAATATTTTGAAATCAGAATTCAAAGGAATTATGAAATTATGAAAAACTCGATTTTTTTATTTTTTAGTTTTGCTCAATTTTGACTTCACCAATCGATAGAGTGGGTCAAAATTAGTGGAAAACAACCCTAACATCATTTCCAAATGGTCATTTTAAGCAGAAGCAAAAATAAAAATAAAATCTTATTTTTGGCTCTGGGAAATTTTCAAAATCTTGACATGGTCATGAACAATTGCCCATATCTTTATTGAATTTTGAGCAAATTTAAAAAAATTATATACCGTTGGAAAGAGTATTAAATTCTCTATAAATACATGCAAAAGTGAGTTTGATAGCTCAGGAAGTTTCCGAGTAATTCAGCCTCAAAGTTGACTTTTAGTGTAAATTTTGTCAAAAACTTCAAACTCAATTTTTGTAAACTCTATAAACCTGGGAATATTGTTATTCACAAGTCTTTCAGAACTTGATAAGAACTACAAATGCTGAAAATTTCAACGCAATTTGCCCAACGGTTACCGAGCAATTGAGGTTTGAATATTTTGAAATCAGAATTCAAAGGGGGTACCCGAGGGGTGGTTAACTGGTCAAAATCCCAGAAAATCTCATAAGATCTAGTCAAAATCCCTAAAAATCTTTGAAATCCTTAAAAATTTAACAAAACCCCACAAAATCTCTTAAAATTGCATAAAATCCTACAAAATCTAATAAAATTTCATTAAAACCAAAAAAATCCTGCAAAATCTCATAAAATCATTATCATTCTTAAAAAATATTTCCTTTGATATTCCCAAAAATTCTTGGGAATCCTCAAAAATCTGTTGAGTCTTCTAGAATTCCATAATTTACTGGAATTTCTGTAGAATTATGTTACATATTCTGAAAAAGGAATTACATCTGAAATTTTTGCGGAGTTACCATAGAATTTACCGAGGAATTTACATTAAATTTTAGTTCCTCTCGAATTACATGAAATTTCAGTGAAATTCCGATTGAATTACACGAAATCCTAAATGAATTGCATGGAGGATTTCTAAACAATTATATTAAATTAGGTACACCGAAATTCCCAACATGAAATTTCAGTACTTACTGAATTTTAGTAAAATTCCAGAAAATTTCACAAGTGGAATGCCGAGGAATTTCCAACTAAAAACATGTAATTTCGGTGATATTCCGAAAAATTCCCATGTAATGACATGAAATTCAAATATATTTCGGTGAATTTTCAAGAAATTACTTGAAGTTTCATTGATATTCCCAGAAATTCTCGACTACTGAAAGAGAATTTCAATGAAATTCTGAAAAATTCTTATGGAAATAAACGAGGGGTGTTTCACCTACCCCAAAAAGGGGAAAACAACGCCCTAGGTTAGGCAGGTGTACACCACTGCCTAAGTTAGGCAATATTTGATAACACTGCCTAATCGCCTATGGCGATTGCTGCGAACATTTCTGTCAATGCCATTGTCGGCATCAATGTCAAGAATGCCAACATCAATGCCGTCAATTCCAACACAATGCCGTCAATTCCGACATCAATTCCGATATCAATGCCGTCAATTCTGACATCAATCCTGTCAATTCTGAAATCAATTCAATGCCGTCAATTCCGTGATGACTGCCTCAATTTCCCTTATTTATCGATTCAATGCCCACAATTCCTAAATCATTACTCTCACTGCCGTAATTATTGTCGTAAATTTGTACACCAATGCCGATCGTGAAACACCCCTCGGAAATAAATGAAATTTTGAAAAAAAATTTAAAGTTTCATTGGTACTCGCATTGGAATTTCGAGAAATTTTTGACTAATAATGTGGAATTTCAGTGAAATTTCAAAAAAGTTTCATAAAATTTTAGTGAAATTCCGAGGAATTACAGGAAATGTCAGTGAAATTCCGAAAAATTTTATGAAATTTTTGTGAAATTCCAGGATATTTCAGTGGTGAAGTTTTGGGGAACTTCAGTAAAGTTTTAAAAAAATTATTGGATTTGGAATTTCTATAGAATTTTGGAGAATTTCAGTGGGATTTCGAACAAAAAAAATTATGAAATATTCCCAGAATTTTCATCAAATTATATATAATTTCACTTTGTGTCGACCTACATAAAATTCCGATGAAATGTCGAGTAAAATTCCAAGGAATTCTCGTAAAATTACATACATGGAATTCCTTGAAAACTTATTGTGGAATTCCAGTGAAATAACATGGATTTCGAAGAATTTCCTTGGAATTAAACAAAATTTCCGTGGTATTTCCATGGAACCACGAGATCCACGGAATTCCGGAGAATTGAATTAAATTTTAGTGAAATTCCGAGAAATTTCATAAAATCTTTTTCTATAATACCGGGAATCTTTTTACAAGAATTCCATTGAATTTTTTGGTGGAATTTCATGAAATCTTATGGTGAAATTTGGAAAAGTATTATGAAATCTTATGATAAAATTTCTAGGACTTTCTGTTTTTCTATTCAGATTTGTCATTTGAATGGAATTTCGAAGAATTCCATAAAATTTTCTAGTGAAAGTCCATAAAATCTTTCGAGATCCCCAAAAATCCGTTAAAATCTCTAAAAATCGTTTAGGATCGCTAAAATGCTCCAAAATCACCTAAAATCCTGTAAAATCATATGAAGATTTCCAAAATCCTCAAAATCCTACAAAATCAATGAAGATTTAAAATCTGTGTACATATTTTAAGGAGTTAACCACCCCTAGGGGGTACTCTTATGAAAAACTAGATTTTTTTATTTTTCAGTTTTGCTCAATTTTGACTTCACCAATCGACAGATTGGGTCAAAATTAGTGGAACACAACCCTGACATGATTTCCAAATAGCCATTTTAAGCTGAAGCAAAAATAGAAAAAAAATCCTATTTTTGGCTCTGGATAATTTTCAAAATCTTGACATGGTCATGAACAATTGCCCATATCTTTGTTGAATTTTGAGCAAATTTAAAAAAATTATATACCATTGGAAAGAGTATTAAATTCTCTATAAATCCATGCAAAATTGAGTTTGATAGCTCAAGAAGTTTCTGAGTAATTCAGCCTCAAAGTTGACTTTTAGTCTAAATTTTGTCAAAAACTTCGAACTCAATTTTTGTAAACACTATAAACCTGGGAATATTGTTATTCACAAGTCTTTCAGAACTTGATAAGAGCTATAAATTCTGAAAATTTCAATGGAATTTGCTCAACGGTTACCAGGCAATATTTTGAAACCAGAATTTGGTTTGAATATTTTGAAATCAGAATTCAAAGGGATTATGGAAAACTCGATTTTTTTATTTTTCAGTTTTGCTCAATTTTGACTTCACCAATCGATAGAGTGGGTCAAAATTAGTGGAAAACAACCCTGACATTATTTACAAATGGCCATTTTAGGCAGAAGCAAAAATAAAAATAAAATCCTATTTTTGGCTCTGGGAAATTTTCAAAATCTTGACATGGTCATGAACAATTGTCCATATCTTTGTTGATTTTTGAGGAAATTGAAATAAATTATATACCATTGGAAAGAGCATTAAATTCTCTATAAATCAGTGCAAAATTGAGTTTGATATCTCAGAAAGTTTTTGAGTAATTCAGTCTCAAAGTTGATTTTTAGTTCAAATTTTGCCAAAAACTTCAAACTCAATTTGCTCAAAAACTTTCAACCTGCGAATATTGTAAAGTACAGGATTTCTAGAGCTTATTAAGAGTTACAAATGCTGAAAATTTCAATGCAATTTGCTCAACGGTTACCGAGCAATTGAGGTTTGAATATTTTGAAATCAGAATTCAAAGGGGGTGGTACCCTTATGAAAAACTCGATTTTTTAATTTTTCAGTTTTGCTCAATTTTGACTTCACCAATCGATAGAGTGGGTCAAAATTAGTGGAAAACAACCCTGACATTATTTACAAATGGCCATTTTAGGCAGAAGCAAAAATAAAAATAAAATCCTATTTTTGGCTCTGGGAAATTTTCAAAATCTTGACATGGTCATGAACAATTATCTATATCTTTGTTGAATTTTGAGGAAATTGAAATAAATTATATACCATTGGAAAGAGCATTAAATTCTCTATAAATCTGTGCAAAATTGAGTCTAATAGAATAGTTTTTGAGTAACTTGATTTTTAGTCCAAATTTTGCCAACCCAAACTTTCAGCTGAGAAATCTTATTATGTATTATGTATGTATTATGGCAATGGATCTAACACATCACAACACATACCAAAATTGTTTAAATCTTCTTATTTTTTATATACAGAGCTGGAATTATCTTTAAAAGGCTCTACAATTTCCGCAGGTTAATCTACTTTCTCATCTTTAAATACCATGTTATGGAAAACATGTTTATCCTCAACCCTATCTTTCTCCCTATCTGCAAGAACCATCCATTGTTTGATTTACTTAATTTATGCCAAGCCTTTCTACCTAATTCATTAAATTAATATTATCATCTCAGGTGTGCTCTTTTGGAATTATGGAACGAATTACATTTCCCCTTTGACTATTCCCAATTACTATCTTACCGTGCTGAAAAATATTCACCCCAAAAGCACCTCGACAAACTGGAGGATCCAAACTTGAGATGTCTCATAGCCAACATGATTGATAGAGTAAAAATTATTTGCTACCCTAAATCCCGAAATTAATTTATGGTTTGTAGGACCCACTAAAACGTCTAACTGCAGAGGATTATCTCGCTCAACACAGAGGCACATTATTTCCAGAATATTTCTACACTTTTCTGCAATCTTATATGCTAATATTCTCGGCCAATCCTATAATGTCGCCAGACGAAAAAATTACCAGACTCAAAAGCGATATAGGGAATATTTTCAAGTTTCTAGGTCCTGTTAAAAAATCCTACGAAGAAGATCCTGAATTGGAAGAAGAAGAAAAACAGGACGAGGAAAAAGATGAAGAAAGAGGTGAATGTGAAGGCTTGGTTATTATAACTTCACTAGTGACTTCTTGTATTCGTGGCCTACACGAATGTCCTTCAAAACTGTTCAGCTTAGAAATTTTACTCGAATTGGCTTATCATGCTAGTGATGAAACTATTTTGGATAGGATATTACCTTTTCTAGTAAGAATTATACCTTATAAAAAAAACAATCTAATCTAATAACCTGTTTTAGGTGTATTTAGCTCATGATTATAACTCTAGAGTGAAAATTTGCGCCATTAATACAATCACCAAATGTTTAAATTTGGTGCAAAGACTACCTAGGTCTGACTCTAACATATTTCCAGAATACATTTTACCTGAATTAGCACAACTAGCTACAGATACTAATGCATGCGTCAGAGCTGCTTATGCTAGGAATATTAGCAGTTTAGCAGAAATTTCATTAGGGTAATTTTGTGTTTTTAAAATAAACAAATTTCAAAATGTAGCATTTTAGCTTTCTCGATCAAATTCAAAATATTTGGTACGGAGAAGACAGCAGTGATAAATCAGACAATGAGCACACCTTCAATTATGAATTAGAGCTGCAGGCCTTACATGAAATGGTACAGCAAACTGTTAGTGCCTTGCTAACTGATTCTCATAGCATTGTAAAGCAGGCCCTTATCAATAATGGTATTAATAAGTTGTGTGTGTTTTTTGGAAAAGCAAAAGGTAATATGTAATTTGAATAAACAGGGCAGTTATTTTGAAATTGGTGTTTTTTTTTTTAGCCAATGATGTTATTCTATCACATATGATAACATTTTTGAATGACAAAGAAGACACCCAATTGAGAAAATCCTTTTTTGACTGTATTGTTGGTGTTACTTCTTACATTGGATGGCATTGTGGTACTATTTTGACGCCTTTACTTTTGCAGGTGAAAATACATTATCTTGAATTGTTTGCATTACATTTTGAAATGTTTTAGGGCTTAACTGATAGTTCAGAATTTGTAACGAGAAAAGCTATTTTAGCAATGGCAGCACTTACCGAATACAATTTAGTTACAACATCCTCTTTATGTGAATTAATAATTGAGTGTTCATTTTTTTTGGTTCATCCAAATTTATGGATCAGAGAAGCTGTATGTGGCTTTATAGCAAAAGCGGGCGGAAGATTGTCAGTGCTAGATGTACAATGCAAAGTTATGCCGCACTTGACTATATATATGAAGTATAAATTGATTCAAATTGAAAAGTAATTTTTTTGTGGTTTGTTGAAATTCTGGTTAATTTTGGGGGTTTTAGGCCTGAACTCTTACTAGATTCACTGGTACCACCAATACCAAGAAGTGTTTATGATAATGTGATAAACTACCAAGATATTAACAAACTGATGGACGTTTTACAAGAAAGAAAACACATAAGAGACTGTATCAATTCTGGCACTTCTCCCACTTATGATTTTTATATTGAAATGAATACTAATTTAAAGAGTGTAAGTTATTATAGATTTTCCATAGTATTATTTTGTATGTTTTTTTTTCTGTAGCTTTTTCGAAGATTGGAAGCAAACGGAATGACTCCTGAAGTGGAAGAATACCTGCTTAAAATGGGCAACCACTTAAAAAAAATCCACAAACACAAAACAAGCGCTGATGCCAGATTCAAAAACCACGACGGCAAAGACAGTTTTACCACTACCGTAAGAAATAGAGTTTTCCAGTTTAGCGACTCTCACAAAAACGATTACGGACGGTAAATAATTAAAACCCAATCATAATTAATAATGAAAATATTTGTTTTAGAGGTGGCCTTCACAGAACCAACACGTTAGGTTCAATAGACACCAACGTGAACTCAGATTGGAACTATAGTTCAGAAGTATTGACGCGGCAATCAGAATCGACCAATAGTGGAGCTCCATCGTCGCGTTCCACCAATAGTAGGCCTTCGTCGCCTCCACCTGATGCTCATCTAACTCAGTTTATCAGTACCACTACTGATGCGTCTAGTTTACATGAAAAAAGCTTTATTCAGTGTAAGAATCATACAGTATTTTATTATTTGCCACTGGGTTTACTGAATTTGAAGTTTTATAAGTCATATTGGAAGAGTGTGGAAATTCACAACTGAAACAATTCGCAGTTTCCTAAATACTTTGAGCCATCTCGGCATTTTGAAACTCACACGATTTATTTATTAGAGTTTGGTTATAATACAAAACAAATTGGAAGTTGGAATTCTTATAATGAGTAATTAGTAGAATTTAATTAGCAATTTTGATACACTTGTATCCAAATAACCTTCTCTTTAAATGTATGGAAAACTGGCAAAGGGAAAATTTTGAAAATTTTCCTGGAAAAAGATGAAAATGAGAAGCTCATTTTACGAAAATTTCAAAATTGTCCAGTGAAAAATCACTGCAGGAAAAATTCAAAGAGAATTGACTTATTTAGGCAAAATTAAGGAAAATTCACCTCTTAAATTTTAATTTTTTTCTAAAAATCTGGCAAAGGGAAAATTGTGAAATTTTTCCAGAAAAAAGAGAAAATTGAGGAGCTCATTATAGGAAAATTTCAAAACTTTCCATTTTCAAAATCACTCCAGGAAAAATTTTGGGAAATTGACTTTTTTAGGCAAAATTCACCCTCTTACATTTTTTTTTTTCTGGGAAACTGGTAAAAGGAAAATTGTGAAAATTTTCCACAAAAAAGAGGAAAGTAAAGAGCTCATTATAGCATAATTTTAAAATTTTCCAATGAAAAATCACTCCATAAAGAATTCTGGAAAATTGACTTATTTAAGCAAAATTAAAGAAAATTCACATCTTACATTTTAATTTTTTCTGGAAAACTGGCAGAGGGAAAAATTTGAAAATTTCCCAGGACTAAGAGGAAAATGAGGAGCTCATTTTACGAAAATTTCAAAATTGTCCAGTGAAAAATCACTGCAGGAAAAATTCAAAGAGAATTGACTTATTTAGGCAAAATTAAGGAAAATTCACCTCTTACATTTTAATTTTTTTCTAAAAATCTGGCAAAGGGAAAATTGTGAAATTTTTCCAGAAAAAAGAGAAAATTGAGGAGCTCATTATAGGAAAATTTCAAAACTTTCCATTTTCAAAATCACTCCAGGAAAAATTTTGGGAAATTGACTTTTTTAGGCAAAATTCACCCTCTTACATTTTTTTTTTCTGGGAAACTAGTCAAAGGAAAATTGTGAAAATTTTCCACAAAAAAGAGGAAAGTAAAGAGCTCATTATAGCAAAGTTTTAAAATTTTCCAATGAAAAATCACTCCATAAAAAATTCTGGAAAATTGACTTATTTAAGCAAAATTAAAGAAAATTCACATCTTACATTTTAATTTTTTCTGGAAAACTGGCAGAGGGAAAAATTTGAAAATTTCCCAGGACTAAGAGGAAAATGAGGAGCTCATTTTACGAAAATTTCAAAATTTTCCAGTGAAAAATCACTCCAGGAAAAATTTTGACTTTTTTAAGCAAAATTGAGGAGAATTCACCTTCTTATGTTTTAATTTTTTTCTAGAAATCGGGCAAAGGGAAAATTGTGAAATTTTTCCAGAAGAAAGAGAAAAGTAAGGAGCTCATTATAGGAAAATTTCAAAACTTTCCAATGGAAAATCAGTCCAGGAAAAATTCTGGGAAATTGACTTTTTTAGGCAAAATTCACCCTCTTACATTTTTTTTTTCTGGGAAAGTGGTAAAAGGGAAATTGTGAAAATTTTCCAGAAAAAAGAGGAAAGTAAAGAGCTCATTATAGCAAAATTTTAAAATTTTCCAATGAAAAATCGCTGCATAAAAAATTCTGGAAAATTGACTTATTTAAACAAAATTAAAGAAAATTCACCATCTTACATTTTAATTTTTTTCTGGAAAACTGGCAGAGGGAAAACTTTGTAAATTTTCCAGGAATAAGAGGAAAATGAGGAGCTCATTATATGAAAATTTCAAAATTTTCCGGTGGAAAATAACTCCAGGAAAAATTCTGGGAAATTGACTTTTTTAGACAAAATTCACCCTCTTATATTTTTTTTTTCTGGGAAACTGGTAAAAGGAAAATTGTGAAAATTTTCCAGAAAAAAGAGGAAAGTAAAGAGCTCATTATAGCAAAATTTTCCAATGAAAAATCACTGCATAAAAAATTCTGGAAAATTGACTTATTTAAACAAAATTAAAGAAAATTCACCATCTTACATTTCAATTTTTTTCTAGAAAACTGGCAGAGGGAAAACTTTGTAAATTTTCCAGGAATAAGAGGAAAATGAGGAGCTCATTATATGAAAATTTCAAAACTTTCCAGTGAAAAATCACTCCAGTAAAAATTTTCACTTTTTTAAACAAAATTGAGGAGAATTCACCCTCTTATGTTTTAATTTTTTTCTAGAAATCTGGCAAAGGGAAAATTGTGAAATTTTTCCAGAAGAAAGAGAAAAGTGAGGAGCTCATTATAGGAAAATTTCAAAACTTTCCAGTGGAAAATAACTCCAGGAAAAATTCTGGGAAATTGACTTTTTTAGGCAAAATTTAGCCTCTTACATTTTAATTTTTTTCTGGGAAACTGGCAAAAGGAAAATTGTGAAAATTTTCCAGAAAAAAGAGGAAAGTAAAGAGCTCATTATAGCAAAGTTTTAAAATTTTCCAATGAAAAATCACTCCATAAAAAAATCTGGAAAATTGACTTATTTAAAGAAAATTCACCATCTTACATTTTAATTTTTTTCTGGAAAACTGGCAGAGGGAAAACTTTGAAAATTTTCCAGGAAAAAGAGGAAAGTGAGGAGCTCATTATAGGGAAATTTCGAAGTTTTCCAGTGACAAAACACTCCAGGGAAAATTCTGGAAAATTGTCTTTTTCAACTAAAATTAAGGAAAATTATTCACCTCTCACGTTTCATTTTTTTTCTGGAAAACTGGTAAGAGAGGAGAAAGAGGAAAGTCAGGAGCTCATTATAAGAAAATTTCAAAATTTTCCAATGGAAAATCGCTCTAGGAAAAATTCTGAAAAAATGACTTTTTCAAGTAAAAATAAGAAAAACTCATCCCCTCTCACATTTCAATTTATTTCTGGGAAACTAATAAAACTTGTGAAATTTTTCCAGGAGAAAGACGAAAATGAGGAGCTCCTTATAGGAAAATTTTCTAGTGAAAAATCACTCCAAGGAAAGTTCTGGAAAATTGACTTTTTTAAGCAAAATTCATCCTTTCCTATTTCAATTTTTTTCTGGAAAACTGGCACAGCAAAAATTGTGGAATTTTTCAACTCAATATAAGAAAATTTCAAAATTTTCTAGTGAAAAATGACTCCAGAAAAAATTCTGGAAAATTGAGTTATTTAAGCAAAATTAAGGAAAATTCACCCTTTCACATTTAAATTTTTTTTTTGGAAAACTTGCAAAGGGAAAATTTTGAAAATTTTCCAGGAAAAAGAGAAAAGTGAGGAGCTCATTATAGGGAAATTTCGAAATTTTCTAGTGAAAAACCACTCCAGGAAAAATTCAAAGAGAATTACTTATTTAGGCAAAATTAAGGAAAATTCACCGTCTTACATTTTAATTTTTTTCTAGAAAACTGGCAACGGGAAAATTTTGAAATTTTTACAGGAGAAAGAGGAAAGTGAGGAGCTCATTAGAGGAAAATTTCAAAATTTTCCAGTGAAAAATCACTCCAGGAGAAATGTATTCATATATTTTCGGATAACTGAATAAACTCTGTTCTTAGTTAAAAAATTTATCACAAAACAATAATTCCGAAGGTACTCTATGAATTAATCTATGACTTAACTTAACTTTTTTCTTACGTGTCTCATTTCCTTTCCATCAAACCCCATCAAAAAATCCCTTCAAATTTGGAGCCTAGTTGTGCTTATGGCTTCAGAAGTTGTAGTAAAGGAAAGAGATGGGTTAAATGGCTCAGAGAGAACTCTCTGTGATATGGACTATGGTTTGAAAGTTTGGAACAAATTGTTGATTGCTTTACCCTCGGCTTTCGGCTTTACCTTTAAAATAAAATACCTATGCAATTATGGTGTATCTATTTTTCAGATAGAAGATCTACTTGCTACATAGAACTGACAAAATTGAAAAATATCCAACAGGATCATTACTATGAAGCACTTAGGTGAGTATCTCCAATCTATAAATCATTATAAGATGTTTGATTATTCCTATTTCTAAGAAACAAAGAATGGGCAGAACAAGCTGCCTGGAAACCGCAACTACCCCCACCTGGCTGGCACCCCCGAGGCATTTTAGTAGCCCATCTGCACGAACACAAAAGTGCCGTAAATAGATTGTGTAGGTTTCCAGATTCCGCTTATTTTGCCAGTAGTTCAGTTGACGGTACCGTCAGGTAAATAATCTTTGTAACAAATAAATTTGTTTTTTCCAATACAATTTGTGTAGGCTTTGGGATTGTGCCGCTTTTGAGTCAGGTAGCTTCGCGAATCGTTCCAAACAACAATTTAGATTACCGAATTCCTCTCCTGTTACTGGTCTAGCTGTTTGTGATGGAGGCCAGTCTTTGGCCGCTTCCTGTCAAAACGGATGGGTCGGTGTTTTGCGAGTTGATTTTTCTAGTTCAAAGTAAGACTAGCAATAAAGAATTTCACCCAAACAAAATTTAAACTTCTTTAGAATGAGCCTTCTACAATCTAAACAATTAGATTCGTATGAGGATGGTTTTGCAGTTGATTTGCAATGTCTCGATCCTGGAACTCAAAGCATTGTTGTCTATGCAACACTTTATGGAGACTTAGGTAATATAGATTATTTTATTTTAAATTGGTTTCTAAAAGTTTATATAGTTGCTTGGGACTTGCGTCAACCTGGAATAGCTTGGAGGCTAAAAAATGGCTTAAGACAAGGCGTAATTACAACATTTTGCGTTGACGCCCATCAAAATTGGTTAGCATTGGGTACCAGCGATGGAATACACACTGTTTGGGATATGAGATTTAGGTTACCCATTACCACAATTGATTTACCATCAAGTGGTCAAGCTGTAAGAATAAGAAAAGTCATACCACACCCAACTGAACATTCCTGGCTAATGTCCAGTGTCCAAGGCAATAACGAAATATCAATGTGGAATTTGGAAACTGGTTCGAGGCAAAAAGTTTTATGGGGCAGTACTACTCCGCCTTTATCAAAATTAAACCAGGTAAGTACCATAATCATTTTTTTTGCATACTAATAATTAATTTAGGCAAGCCATCAAACAAGTCACAGCGTATGCTCAATGCTAGCAGGGTGTATAGACAGATCTCCTTTTCTACTTTCGGGTGGTACCGATCAAAGACTGAGATTTTGGAATTTGGAAAGTCCTTCTGAAAGTTACTTGGCTTTGCCTGCAGCTAGCGATCCTGCTGGTACTACTTTATCCTATCGCAGCAGGTAAAAAAACTCTATTTTTAGATGAATAATTTTGTTATAAACAATTATTATATTAGGTTGATTGATGGTACTGATGTTATTTATGAAGAGCACTCAAATATGAGGCCGAAAGATAAGGCTGAAGAGGTACCTCGGGCTGGTCCAGAACCCCCAGCAGCCGGTCATAGGGATTGCATTTCGGATATTATTTTGTGTAAGGCCAGTCAGTGCTTTGTTGTTACGGCTTCCAGAGATGGAGTTATTAAAGTTTCTAAGTAGATTTGTGTGATGGAATTTTTCTTTTGTGATATTGGGGCAAGGATGTTTTTTTTAGTCAGTAAGCTAGTGATAAATTATGTATTAAATTATAAAACATAATATGCATTAATGTTTGGTGATTTTTGTTATGTATTTACACAAGTGTTACGAAAGTAGAAGAAAATTTTGAGAATATAAAACATGTACGAAACAATCCAGAAGCTCGGGTAAAATCTGAAGAATATGAGGATACAGAAGTAGAAGCAATTGAGAGAAAACTTCGCCAAAATATCTTGAAGATTATTGAGATTTGAATGTAAGGCTACATTTACAAAATCAAATATATCCGGAAAAATTCTTGTTTTGCTAGAAAAATTCTCTAAGCAACTTGCATAAAAATACAATTTTTAATCATGCGAGTGCAAGAGAATCCGACAAGTCAGGGTCAGTTTGGAAACAAACAATAATTATGAAAGAAAAGTTCGTTACTATAAAAACTATTGAAGGCCTTAATCATATCATCATCAGATATTCAAAATTCCATCCAGAATAAAGACATCACATTTTTTGGTACTTCACTTATCCCCAGCAAAAAACAAGTACCTCTTTTGCATTATTCAGTCTTTTGCGACTTAAATCATTTCCTCGTACCACAAGGTTAAATACAAACAATCTTCTTGTAAGTAGGTATATCTCAATTTTAGAATAAGTGATTGAGGGCTTTAGAATTCTAAGCTAGTGTCTAAAATCACCAAATAGTTGTTATTCAAGGCACAGTCTCAATGGTATTGACCTTAACCCTGAGCGAATCTTAAGCAGATAAGATAATAAGGCGCAAAAGAATCATCAAGTTTATTTAAATAAAAACATGTACATTACTCAGATTAATTGGTTTTTTTCTTATTTGCGACGTCACTAGATTATAAAATACAAAGCCGGGATGGCAAATGGGTCATTTCAATAGGAGACCTCACCGACTAAGAGAGCGTAGTCCTTTGAAATAATAATTAGTTTTGTGTTTTAATTAATAAATAATAATTGCTAGTTTTTTAATTAATCAAAATGAAAGTTAATGTTGTTTGTTTAATAGTTTTTTTGATTGTTAATATAATTGGTATAAATGCAGAGGCGAAACCGTTTTTTAAAAAATTGTTTGGCGGATATGAAGACTCTTACGGATATGGGAATTCTTATGGTGGATATGGATATCAAAACAGACCCAGGTAAAACTATATTGAAATATTTTGATCAATTATTTCCATAGGCGCAACTAGGGGGGTGCTTGGAGGTGCTAAGCACCCCTAAAGCAAAAATTAGCACTCCCATTCGGCATCCCACCATAGCACTACCTACAGTGGCACTACCTAAAACTAATATAAAAAATCAGTGCAACCAAATTATTATCTTTTTGTACTTAATTTAGAAATTTTAGATTTTACTATCACTTCTCCGCGATTCTAAATTCACTTTTCCGCGATTGTAAACCCACTTTTCCGCAAATATTACCTCATTTTTCCGCGATTCTTATCTCACTTTTTTTGAAATTTTTAACTAATTTTTTTTGCGATTTTTGACCCACTTTTTTGCAATTTTGTCTTCACTTTTTTGCGATTTTTGGATCTTTTTTTTTACGATTTTTGACTCTCTTTTTTGCGAATTTGTCCTTACTTTTTTGCGATTTTAGCCTCACTTTTTTGCGATTTTACCCTCACTCCTCGGCGATTACAAACTTATTTTCCGCTATTTCATCCTCATTTTCCCGCGATTGTTTCCCTACTTTCCGCGATTTTATCTTCACTTTTCCGCGAATTTGACCTCACTTTTTTTGTGATTTTTGAATTATTTTTTTTTTGCTATTTTTTACTCATTTTTTTGCGATTTTACCATCACTTACCGCGATTCTAAATCCACCATTTTGCGATTGTCAACCCACTTTTCTGTAAATATTATCTCATTTTTCCGCGATTCTTGTCTCGCTTTTTTTTACGATGTTATCCTCACTTTTCCGCAGTTCTTATTTCATTCTCCGCGATTTTATCCTCACTTTTCGTGACTTTATCCTCACTTTTCGTGACTTTATCCTCATTTTTCCGTGAGTCTCATCTTACTTTTCCGCGAGTTTAAACTCACTTTTTTTGAAATTTTTGACTCATATTTTTTTTTGCGATTTTTGACTCTTTTTTTACGATTTTATCATCACTTTCCGCGATTTTATCCTCATTTTTCCTCATTTCAAAATTACGAGAATGACGATAATTTTTGAAAAGTTACGAAAAATTACGGGAATTACGTTAAAGTACGTAAAATATGAAAAATTATGAGATTTGCAAACATTTACGAGAATCACGGAATAACAAAAAATTGCGGGAATTACAAAAATTATGGGAATTGCCAAATATTACACAAAAGAATTACGAAGTTACTCCAAAATTACGTCAATTATTTAAATATTACTAATTTTTGAAAAGTTACGAAAACTAACAAGACAAATTACGAAAAATAATGGGAATTATAAAAATTTACGGAACCCAGTAAAATGACGGAAATGACGAACATTTACGGGAATTATGAGAAATTATAAAAATTACGGGAATTGAGAAAAATACGAAAAATTACAAAAATTACGGGTATTACGAAATATTACGGGAAAGAATTACAAAGTTATTTCAAAATTACGTGAAATACGGTAATTCCCAAAATAACGCAAATCACAAGTTTTTGAAATTACGAAAATTACAATAACTTGGGGAAAATTAGAAAATTCCGAATTTTTTTGGAAATTAGGTAAATTGAAAATACAAATAATTACTGGAATTACGAAAACATTACGATGGAAAAAGCGGGAAAAATTGTGGGAATAACGAAAATTACCAAG